AAAACTGAATGTCTTTGAAAACGCCCTTCCCTCTGGAGTTGTATCAGCACCGTCAGTCGAGGCTTTTAAAGCCTCAATGACAAAGCTGAACTAAATTCAAAAATTTTGGGGAGAGAGGAGTTTCAGTATGCGCACCAAATCCATGGCAGTATAATCAGTTCGTTGATTGTGGCCATTATCTGGCAGAAGCAGAAGCAGAATTATACATGTTACTATATGACATCAGAAAACAGAGATGCTAAATATGCTTATTGACCACAGGAAGGTCGACTATAATATCGATTTTCCCCATATTGAAAGAAACAAATTCCTGTGATATTGACCCTTATACAAACAGTAAATCGTGTTGTTCCTGTGACTGGTCCTATAGGCACTTGGGGAATAGACCCCCTTTTTTTCAATTTTTTTTTGTGTTGTGTTTTTTTTTAGCCAATATTCTTTAAAATAAGAATAGAGGGGCATCACATATAAACTACTTTTATTTTAATATTGTATGTGAAGAGCAAAAACAACTTTTAAAAATGAGTGAACCATGTGAACTAAGTACGTAAAAGGTGTTACTAATATCATAAAACAAAAATGCGTAATGACCACTAAATTATTTCTATCAATATGGGAAGGTCCATTATTATACATTGATAGTCAACTTTGTGCCTGATATTCATATGATGAAGACATAATCTTTCAATCAGTTTAATTGAAGTCTGGAGCTGGCATGTCAGTTAACTGCTAGTAGTCTGTTGTTATTTATGTATTATTGTCATTTTGTTTATTTTCTTTGGTTACATCTTCTGACATCAGACTCGGACTTCTCTTGAACTGAATTTTAATGTGCATATTGTTATGCGTTTACTTTTCTACATTGGCTAGAGGTATAGGGGGAGGGTTGAGATCTCATAAACATGTTTAACCCCGCCGCATTTTTGCGCCTGTCCCAAGTCAGGAGCCTCTAGCCTTTGTTAGTCTTGTATTATTTTTAATTTTAGTTTCTTGTGTACAATTTGGAGTTTAGTATGGCGTTCATTATCACTGAACTAGTATATATATTTGTTTAGGGGCCAGCTGAAGGACGCCTCCGGGTGCGGGAATTTCTCACTGCATTGAAGACCTGTTGGTGGCCTTCTGCTGTTGTCTGTTCTGTGGTCGGGTTGTTGTCTCTTTGACACATTCCCCATTTCCATTCTCAATTTTATTTCCCATATTGATAGAAAGAAAAACATTCCTGTGATATTGATCAATATACATTACAAAAAAATCGTGTTCTTTTTGCGACTGGTAACATAGTTGTTTGTAGAATGGACCCCCCTTGTTTCAATTTTTTTTGTGTGTCCATTTTTTTTTTTAGTTAAATTCTTTAAAAAAAGAATAGAGAGACTTCAGATATAAACTCCTGTTATTTTAATATCATATTTTTTGTGCATGAACACATTAAATAAGTGAACAAAGGTTAAAGGGGCATTAGCTACGAGACATAAAGAAATATGAAATATGGTTTTTGTCGAGCCTTCGACTTTTGTCGAAAAAGCGAGACATAGCGATCCTACATTACATCGGCGGCATCGTTGTCGGTGTTGTCGTCGGCGGCGGCCACAAATATTCACTCTGTGGTTAAAGTTTTTGAAATTTTAATTACTTTCTTAAACTATCCTGGATTTCTACCAAACTTGGACAGAAGCTTGTTTATGATCATAAGATTATATTCAAAAGTAAATTTTGTAAAAAAAAAATTCCATTTTTTCTGTATTTTACTTATAAGTGGACTTAGTTTTTCTGCCAGGAAACATTACATTCACTCTGTGGTTAAAGTTTTTGAAATTTTAATAACTTTCTTAAACTATCCTGGATTTATACCAAACTTGGAAAGAAGCTTGTTTATGATCATAAGATAGTATCCAGAAGTAAATTTTGTAAAAAAAAAATTCCATTTTTCCGTATTTTACTTATAAATGGACTTAGTTTTTCTGCCAGTTAACATTACATTCACTCTGTGGTTAAAGTTTTTAAAATTTTAATAACTTTCTTAAACTATCCTGGATTTCTACCAAACTTGGAAAGAAGCTTGTTTATGATCATAAAATAGTATCCAGAAGTAAATTTTGTAAAAAAAAAAATCCATTTTTCAGTATTTTACTTATAAATGGACTTAGTTTTTCTTCCAGTCAACATTACATACATTCTGCAGTTTAAGTTTTTAAAACATTTATTAGATTCATAAATTATCCTGGATTTTTACCAAACTTGGACAGAAGCTACTTACAATCAAAAGATAGTATAGAGGGGAATATTTTTATTAATTTTTTTCCTCATTTTTGTTGAGCCTGCGATTAACACCAAAAGTAGGCGAGACACTGGGTTCCGCGGAACCCTTACAAATTTTTTTTTTTTCAATCCTTAATGAAAGTGAAATAGTGAATTAATAATTCGCTTTTAACAGCCAATTTGTTTCAATTTTGTCAAAATAAGTTAATAAACATTGCTGATGAATTATTCACTTGCAAGTGTATAATTTGACCTCATTGAATCCATATTCATGTGACCTTCAATTTAACCCCTTAGCTGGACATGTTACATGTTACACATGTATTCAGCTATTAAAAGGTAAAAAATGTCAATATTGAAAGTGAAACAAGGATGAACCATTTTATTGACCGATTCAATCCACAAAAAATCATTCTTATACAGGTAAAAACGATGATAAACATACTTTTTAACCTACAATATGAAATCAAACAAACCCAGAAAAATCCAATTGCACGTAGTCACTATCTGTTTTTATCTATCTTTATGTTTATATCAGGTTTATATGACCGTCGGCAGTCTTTGGAAGTCATCTCCATGGTTAATTAGATGGCATCTAGACAAAAATACACACAAAATGTTGACACATATTATCGAGTCCATGCATTGTTATTGTTTATTTTAGACTTTTGTAACTTGGATATACGTTTTATTATGTTATAAATCAAATATAGGAGACTTTGAGTCAAATCAGTGATCATAAATTTGACAGCTAATTTCCCTTTAAAATATTAAAAAATATTAAGTAAAAAAATAATACATACAAAAGAAAAAGAAAAAAAAGGGATCCATTCCCCAAGTGCTTGTGATTGGTAATGGAGAAAACAATCACTACTTAGACTGGCTGTCATATGATAGCATATTCTGACAGGACACTTCTGACACTTTGATGTTGATGATAGTGAATTGATTGGGAGTGAACAGTTGAGAGTTTCAAGGAGTAGCTGTTGGATATCTGAACAGTTGAGAGTTTCAAGGAGTAACTGTTGGATATCTGAACTTGTACGTCAATTGCTGTCTGGTGGAGAGTTGTCTCATTGACAATGATACCACATCTACTTAGTGGTTTGTTTCTGCAGTCCATTGCATTATGATCAGTGCTTATTAATAGGTATGAGACTAGATTTAAAAAATAAATTTATGTATATATCATATATACTGTATGAAAAAACTTTGTCTTGTACCTGTGAGCTTATTCAGTATTGCAGAAGCTAATGAATATGAGTGAACTTTAAACTTTCAACTTTGTCCTAATATGTACAGTTGCTGTTAAAGTACCAAACAATCCATTAATCAATTTAAATCTCAGTATGTCAGTTGCCAATGTGTAATATTAGTTACACGGTGTGCTAGTGACCTAATACGATATATATATAGGTTCAGTAAATTCCACATGGGGTGAGAGCGAAGCTCGAATCCCCATATGGAATTTACTGACCCCCATATATATCATATTAGGTCACTAGTGTAACAGCCACTATGTTCCGTCAGTTACTTTGTTCCGGCGGAACTTTTCAACTAGTTATTTCGTTCCGATGGAAATTTCCAACTAGTTGTTTTATTCCGAGTGCAGTCGAAAAGTTCTGAAAAAAAATAGCTAGTTGAAAAGTCCCTGAACAATGTAGCTAGTTGAATAGTTCTGTCGGAACAGAACAACTAGTTACATCGTTCCGAACATACCATATTTCGTCCGTTTTGTAGAAAGAGGGGGAAGAATGAGTATCAGTATATATAAGAGCAAATCATTAATTTACAAGAATACCCAACGCACTGAAAGGGGTTTCTTTGGGGACGAATATGCAAAATTTAAGTTGTATTTCATAGCTCACATAAAACGGAATAAGTTGCATTATCATGCAAATTTAGTATTCATAGTACCCTCAAGAGAGGGAAGAATACCTCCCTCCTCATGTGGTTCTTTGCATCAATTCTCCAAATGGAACTTTGTGACTGGTTGATAAGTTCCGTTGGAACTTTTGGGCTAGTTTGTTAGTTCCGATTTTGGTCGAGCATGCGACTTTTGTCGCAGAAAGCTCGACATAGGGATAGTGATCCGGCGGCGGCGGCTACGGCGGCAGCGGCGTTAGCTAACTTCTTAAAAGCTTTATATTTTAAAAGGTGGAAGACCTGGATGCTTCATACTTTGTATATGGATGCCTCATGTTACAAAGTTTCCGTCAGTCACATGTCCAATGTCCTTGACCTCATTTTCATGGTTCAGTGACTACTTGAAAAAAAAGTTCAGATTTTTTGTAATGTTAAATTCTCTCTTATTATAAGTAATAGGATAACTATATTTGGTATGTGCGTACCTTGCAAGGTCCTCATGCCCGTCAGACAGTTTTCACTTGACCTCGACCTCATTTCATGGATCAGTGAACAACAGTGGAAGGACTGTAAGGTGTACATGTCCAACTGGCAGGTGTCATCTGACCTTGACCTCATTTTCATGGTTCAGTGGTTATAGTTAAGTTTTTGTGTTTTGGTCTGTTTTTCTTATACTGTATGCAATAGGTCTACTATATTTGGTGTATGGAATGATTGTAAGGTGTACATGTCTAGCTGGCAGGTGTCATCTGACCTTGACCTCATTTTCACGGTTCAGTGGTTATAGTTAAGTTTTTGTGTTTTGGTCTGTTTTTCTTATACTGTATGCAATAGGTCTACTATATTTGGTGTATGGAATGATTGTAAGGTGTACATGTCTAGCTGGCAGGTGTCATCTGACCTTGACCTCATTTTCATGGTTCAGTGGTCAAAGTTAAGTTTTTGAGTTTTGGTCTTTTTTTCTAATACTGTATGTAATAGGTCTACTATATTTGGTGTATGGAATGATTGTAAGGTGTACATGTCTAGCTGGCAGGTGTCATCTGACCTTGACCTCATTTTCATGGTTCAGTGGTCAAAGTTAAGTTTTTGAGTTTTGGTCTTTTTTTCTAATACTGTATGCAATAGGTCTGCTATATTTGGTGTATGGAATGATTGTAAGGTGTACATGTCTAGCGGGCAAGTGTCATCTGACCTTGACCTCATTTTCATGGTTCAGTGGTCAAAGTTAAGTGTTTGAGTTTTGGTCTTTTTTCTAATACTATATGCAATAGGTCAACTATATTTGTTGTATGGAAGAATTGTTAGCTGTACATGCCTGCCTAGCATGGTTCATCTGACCTTGACCTCATTTTCATGGTTCATTGGTCAATGTTTAGTTTACTTGGTTAATGTTAAGTTTATGTGACAGTTGTAATAAAGCTTTATATTTAGGACTATCAACATAATATCAATGATTAGTAAAGAAGGCGAGACATTTCAGTGTGTTCACTCTTGTGACTTATTTGTCAAAGAGGAACTTTGTGGCTAGTTGATAAGTTCCTTTTGACTTTTGTAATCAGTATCTTGGTTTCCCTTTGAAAGGTTCAAATATAATATGTTGCGCTTTTACTTTGCATCTATTCTCCAAATGGAACTTTCTGCCTGGTTCAGATAAGTTCTGTTGGAACTTTTGGGCTAGTTTGTTAGTTTCGGTTTTGACTAATTTGGCAAAAAGGAACTTTCTAACTAGTTGATATGTTCCGTTGGAACTTTTCAACTAGTCACTTTGTTCTGGTGGAACTTTTAAACCAGAGGAAGAACAAAGTAACTAGTTTAATTTCAATAAGTTCCTCCGGAACTTTTCGACTAGTAAGTTCTTTCCGCCCGGAACTTTCCAACGTCGGAACAAAAGAGCATTTACATAAGCACACCGTGTAATGAATTTATTATAACGACTATCTTCACATGTGGTATTTAGACTAAGCGGCTTATCAAAGTGATGAAGTCATTAAGAACTTCCATTTGTCTATACTAAAAACAAATGCCAACAATAACAACTTGTTAGCTTTAAATTTGTTTTATGAATTTTATTTCAATCGTTCATTATCAATTAATTTCTTCGTCTGTTGAAACCTTTCAGATTTCTTTTTTGTTTTGAAAGGGAAGTAACTCCTTTCTAACCCCATATGGTAACTAACCCCATATTTTTTAGGACACCCTATATCAAATATATGTAGTCACCACGTGTAGTCCTTTAACCAATCATATCCCCAGAAATCTATAGGAGGTAAGATAATGACATGCACATTGTCATATGAACTAGCTGTTTCAGCTCTTATATTGTAATGATATTTATTAAAAAAAGAGTTGTCATTTTTGTTTCTTTTACAGATGAAGCCTACCAGTATGATCCTGACTTTGAAGGACCAATTAAAAACAGGTAAAATTCACTCTGAAGAACTTGAAATGTCGATAGAATTATCTTTTTTTTTAAAATGCTTACTGAAAAAGAATATATCAACCTTTGGTAAGAAGCAAGTACTATTTAAAAGCCTTGAAAACAAATGTGATATTTGGTTCTTTAAAAGTCACTTTTGTTGAACAATTACAGTTGAATAAAAGAGAGGTGGAAAATACCAAGGGGACATTGAAAACTCACAAGTCAAGATAAATTGACAACCCCATGGCAAAAAACGAAAGACGACAAAAAGACAAACCACTTTACAAAATACTTTATATATAGAAAACTAAAGACACATCAACACAAACCCACCAAAAGATCCAGATGGTTGAGCAGGTCCTGTTCCAATTTTTGCATCTGTCATGTTGCTCATTGGAATAAATGGTAGGGTTAAATTACTATGTGCTGCATTTGTATTTACTAAATTATTTGTTTATTTACAGATCATGTACAGATATCATCTGCTGTTTGCTGTTTATAATATTTGTTGGAGGACTTGCAATCATTTCATACTTTGGTAAGTATAATAGACTGATCTTCAAAAAGGAGGTTTATTCTATATTTTTCATTCAAACTTTAAATTTTCCTATTGCTGTACAACAAATTATGTATAATGAAGATAGAATATTTTGTGTTTTTCATGTAGGTAAATATATTCTCAGTTGTTAAGTTGTTGCAGTTTAAATTGGTAAAAGAACAAGAAAAAATCTGTAATAGTTTTAAAGTCTTCAGCACACCATTTGTATCTCATTGACTGAAATAATAATATGTCTATCAGTGGCGGATCCAGGGGGGGAGTCCGGGGGTTGGAACCCCCCTTTTTTTTTGACGATCAATGCATTTGAATAGGGACATGTAGTTGGAACCCCCCCCTTTATCCTGGGTTGGGAACCCCCCCTTTGAAAAATGGCTGGATCCGCCTCTGCCTATTGAACACAGAATGATTTCAAATTGATGAGAATATATGACAATTCAACATATTGTTTTCTTTGGGAAGAAAAAATCCTCCCTTTGATTACATACATGTCATTAAGAACCTTTCGTCGGGAGGGCAATAATCCCATTTTTAGCGGTCTCCTTCAGCCCCCCTTCCTTAAAAATATCATGAATGAAAATTTCAGACACCATCTTTACTTAATTTGTTATTAACATTCCCTTTTGCAAGTAGTAAAAACCTGAGTTTTATTGAATGCATGTTTATTACAAATGGAATTCTGGTGTATTACAGACGTAATACAACTCTGTATATTTTGACATTAGGACTAATTTACAAGTGATTATAGTCTGATTGAAATTATCTACAGGTGAGAGGATATTAATTACTTAATATGGGCTCTGTTTATGCCACATGCAAAGATAATTAAAGGTAACTTCAAGGTCTGGTGGAAAAGTGGAATATTATTGTTAAAAAACATCGATTGGAAAAGGTTTTGATGCTAAAAAAAAACATAATTATTTTATGAAAAGGCTGGTAAAGACAGCCATGCAAGTCTGCTTGTACTTTTTACATGACCAATATTGTTATTTTGAGAGATTTTGAGAGAGTATTTTAAGTGATAAAATGATAGTGTAACACAGAGTACTAAATTAGCTAATATATTTTGACAGTGTTTGAAAAAATTACAATGTTAAGTTTTCTTACATTATGTCTTTATTAGGGCTTTAAATAAAAATTATATAACTATTGTCCCAAGTGTTGGTTAATTTTTCATCCATTTATTGTGTAATAAATGAAAAGCATATATTCTTTCTAGTCGGTTGAAAGAGCTTTCTAATAAGCTCATGTTTATTGTTGTTTGTAAATATGTGCTGACTCTAAATAAAATTTTCTTACTTAGGGAACGACCATTTAACTTCAAAGGGGGGGGGGTTATGGTTTTTTTATACGCCCGTCAATTTTTGACAAGACGTATTATGGTATACAAATGTCCGGTGTCCGTCCGTCCGTCCGTCTGTCTGTCCAGCGTAAACATGTCGCACCGTACATCAGAACGACTTATCCAAATTTCATGAAACTTTAAATAGTTGTTTCTTATGATGGTCAAACAATCTGTATACTTTTTGGTGAAAATAAGATTACAACTTTTTCAGTTACGGGACTTTGTAACTAAAACAGGGGTGTGTTTTTTTTCACATGTCGCGCCATATCTCAAAAATAATTTATGATTATTGCTTAAAACTTTACACACTTCTTAGTTATATTAATCTTAAGATTTGAATACTTTTTGGTAATGATTCAAAATTTTATTTCAGAGATATTGAGTATTTTGTTAAAAAAGAGGGAGGGGTTTTTCACATGTCGCGCCATATCTCAAAAACAGTTTATGATTATTGCTTAAAACTTTACACACTTTTTAGTTATATTAATCTAATGATCTGTATACTTTTTGGTGATGATTCAAAATTTTATTTTTGAGTTATTGAGTATTTTGTAAAAAAAGGGGGAGTGGTTTTTCACATGTCGCGCCGTATCTCAAAAACGATTTATGATTATTGCTTAAAATTTTACACACTTCTTAGTTATATTAATCTAAAGATCTGTATACTTTTTGGTTTTGATTCAAAATTTTTATTTAGAGATATTGAGTTTTTTGTAAAAAAAAAGGGGCTTTTCGCATGTCAGGCCGTATGTCAGAAACTATTTATGATTATTGCATAAAAATTCACACACAAGACGACCGGCATATCATGCGCTCATGGCGCAGCTGTTTATTCTAAATAATATTCTGATCCCCAATTTGATGAACCCCCCACCCCCCCTCCCCCCCCCTTGAAGTTAAATGGTTGCTCCCTTACTTACTTTCTTACACATATTCTCTAAGCCAATGACATGACAATGAATACACAGAAAAGTGACGGAAGCATGAACAAAACCAATGCTTTGATTTTCTCTTTGTACTCAAAGGAAATGTCAAATCATAGTGCTTTATTCATGAGTCAACAATCGATAATGAAAAACAAAACCAAAAACAGATTCTTCTCAATTAGTCTTTCAACTGATACAGGCTTCAAGGGAAAGCCACACATTGATATGACTTTCTGATGGAAGATCAAAGAAAAATCACACAAAAAAGACAATTTTTACATCAGATTGTTAAATTTATGACATAAAAATGTCCATAAAACCATCCTGGATTGAGGTTTAAACTCCCGACTGTAATAAGTGAACATTTAATTTTTTTCGCAAGTCATTTCCAAATGGAGGTATTGATATAAATAATTATGATAAGTTCTTTGCTGATTTATGCTTTTTTTTCTGTTTCTCCAGCATTTAAATATGGAGATCCATCTTTATTGCTGAATCCTGTAAATTCAGATGGAGAAATGTGTGGTCAAGGCAATCAGCAGTAAGTACAAATGTACAAAAATGTACCACTGTGAATAAGTTAGAAAATCTTTTCTGTTGGTGTTCATGTAATGATAATGATGATTTGGTGTTTAATATCCATTGGAAAGTATAACATGCATATCAGAACAATTATATGTTTGAAATCTGACATAAATGATAATTTGGTGTTTATATAACTGTTTAACGTCCATTGGAAAATATAACATGAATATCAGAACAATTACATATTTAAAATCTGATATGAATGATGGTGTTAATTTAATCTATTTAATGTCCATTGGAAAATATTACATGAATATCCGAACAAGTACTGATGTTTAAAATCTGATATGAATGATGATGATGATTTGGTGTTTCTAAATTATTTTAGCCCAAACATAAACACTATCCCATTCCATCACAAGAAGTTGTATATTTATCTATAAACATAATACTGCATAAAACTTTAACATCTTTTTTTGAACTTTTGTAGTGGTTGCTGCACAATTTGTTTTTAATCCATTTCTATTAAGGAAAACACTCAAAGAGCTAATTATAAAATATTCCTCACAAATAAAAAAAAATGTCAATAGGAAATAATCTTTATGATTGATTGAATCATTGGTAAAAACTAAGATAGATTTCATCATATTGTGTTGTAAACAATCAAAAGTTGATCATTTGTCTAGTATCAGAATTGATTTTTCAGAGGAAAAGATTATTTGTTTTTCTTTGACATGGTAACCTGTGGTAGGATGGGTGTAGGAGTTTTTGTTAAAGGATGTCCAACACCACAAGTAAGTTATATACAACAGCATGTTAGTGCAGTTGATGAAGATCATTCCAAAAACAAATTGATAAAAGAGTCTTCTTGGACTGGGAAAAGAGAAATACTATCTCGTTACTTTTTACTCTCCAAAGGGCAGAAAATTTAAATTAGAAAATTGGTTTCTGTTTATAAAAATTAGATATTAGAACATGTGTTTATCCAAGTTATTCTTGGTGGGGTTGTGATGGTCTTTAAATCAGCTTAGATATGATGAATGCCCTCTGTGTGTCTGACTGTCTGGTTGTCTGGCTGTCTGGACATCAACATTAAAGTTGTGGGACAAAATCTTTTGAGCCATAATCATAATCACATGGGAAGAGGAAGATCTGTGAAGATTTTGGGGTCAATAGTCACAGGTCAAGGTTGTAGAATTCTATGAATAGACTGAAATGTGGTTAAAATGTTTGTGTCCAGATATTATCTTGACCATATGTTGAACTTTTGCTAAATTTGGTTTGATAATGCTCAATGAGATTTAGAAGACCCCTATTAATTTTGAGATCCTCAAGGTCAAAGTTCATGGTCACAGCAGCAATAAATTGACTGGAATTACAAAAAAAAATGTTCTGGATCATCATTTGAACTATAGACAATATATTTACAAACTTTTGATTTTTCTGTATGATATCTTTTGAACAATTTGTCAAATCCTCACCAATTTAGCTTGAAAATGTCCCTTGGAAAGAACAAGACACCTTTTAATTTTTGGTCAAAGGTCAAGGACACAGTTTTGTTACTGAAATTTTTTTTGGTAAAGTTAAAGGAGAATATCTTTTAAGCAATACATCAGGTTTTTACCAATCTTTGTTGGATGATTTGCCTTGCGAAAAAGACTTCTGTTTATTTTTTTGAAGTCACTAGGTTAGAGTAGCAATAAAAAGACTTAAATTTTGGCCAATATTTTTATTCCCATCACTTGAAATAAATTGTAAGCAGTTTTATAATTGCAAGGATTTAAATCTTTTTATTGATATGAAAATCAGGATACAGAGAGAATTGACATCAAAATAAGGAGATGTGGTATGATTGCAAATGAGACAACTTTCCATAAAAACCAGAGGACAAAGGTAGGAACAATTGAGAATTTTAAGAAAGATAAAATTATGAAAGGGGTTTACACTTTGGAAAAGTTGTAAAATTTCTATATTTGGCTACGTTAATTTTAGGATTCTGATTATTTGTCAACATCTGAAGGTATATAGCAGAATCCCAAACTTAGGTTATGACCATTGAAGTATTTTTGGCTTGTTTTGTCCAAAATCTCTGAAAAGAATCATCCTTGTAGTATTGCACTAGAAACAATATGGTATATTTACCTTTGTACAGACTATACATAAAGTTAAAGTGACTCTGACCCAACCTCCTCCATTTTAATACATGTAACCAAGGTAGCTGATGATATGTTGAAAATCATGTCTTTGACGACAAGACCAATGACAAGATTTGAAACAATGAGCATTTTAGGGGATTTCACCAAAAAAAACCAAAACAGTAACAATTCCGGTGATATCAGAATAAATTGGAAAATAAGAATTTTTCAGATAATCCTAAATACATTTAATTTCAGATATGTGTATCGCAGTGTCCTGGTGTCAACTTTATTTATGACCCATTAGGTGATGGGACACAGTTCAGTTCTGTCTACTGCAAAGATACATATGCATCTCAGGTAAAATAAAATTATTGAATTACCAAATATATATTCTTTAACCTCATCTGTGTACGTACAATAAAGGTATATACCAGTACATATGAATAAAACAAGGAATTATTTGAATCTGGAATAATTTTGAATTCTGGAAAATTGATGAGAAGTATATGATGAAAACTAACCCAACTAAATAGGGTTAGCCATGCACGCATGGCTAAGGTGGGTTAGTTAGTTCATACTGAAATGATAGTGAAAGTAAAATTAACCTTAGCCATGCACGCATGGCTAACCCTATTTAGTTGGGTTAGTTTTCATCATACATTTCTAATCAATTTTCCAGAATTCAAAATTATTCCAGATTCAAATAATTCCTTGTTATAAGGAGATGCGGTCTGATTGCAAATGAGACAACTATCAACCAGAAACCAAATGATGAAGATGCAAACAACTAAAGGTCACACTAAGGCCTCCAACAATGATGAGAAAAACCCATACTGTAAATTAAGCATTCATGTTTGCTTTTGTATAAAACTCACTCAAATATTTATCCACTCTTTGTGTATTTTTTTATTTTTTTCATCTTTTTCTTTGTTGAGTATCAATGATGGAATCTCCTCTATTCAAGTACACATCCTTGGCTTTCCAATTTTTGGGTTTGAAGTTCCTAATGAAGGTAAATCAAGAAAAGCACTTTGGATACACCAAATTTATAAAGTGTGATTTTAAATTTCTAGCACACAGTAGTACTGATATCGCTGACATGATTTGTTAATTAATCCAGATACACTTGTTTTCACTTTTGGTCACACCCACCCTTCCAAATATTCTGAGTGAACTTAGAATGACTAGGTGTAATGTGATATGCAGTCCAGCAGGCTTGGCAATATTCTTGTCTAGGTCCTTTACACAAATGGATGTAAGACCAGACTCTGAAGAGCTCATGTTCGGTACCATGCTGAACAGAATCTCGTACTTTAACCAGTATGCACAAGCTAGGGTTTGGGCAAGTGTTTGGAGTACCATACACTAATTTATTAGTGAATTGATATTTGCGAAAAAAATAACTTTTTACGATTCTTTCATTGCTTCTTGCCATTTTTTTAAATCATATGATGGAAGAAATTAATTAAACTGTGGTTTGTTTATCCAAAGCCTGGTCTTACATCAATTTGTGTCAACACTGCCCTCCCCCTTTCTATCTCCCATCCATACATAGAAGAAATATGAAAAAAGTACAAATTTAATTACCCAGTAATTTATTGGATTTAAAAGTATTTCTATAATTTCTTCATTTTTATTTCACAGAGCTTGCAAGATATTATAGATGATGAGATTTGTCCAACATATTATCTTAAAAGTGAACCTGGTGAGTTTTTCTGTATTGATTTTATGTCAATATTATAGAATATGTGTAGATGTGACAATTTTTATCAATTACCTAGCTTGAATTAGAGGTTGGTCATTTTAAAACGTATCCACTTATATCAGATACGTTGATGTTAACATATCTGGAGATATAACAAAACACAATATTTGATCCCGAGTTTACGTCTGTGTTGCGTATCAAAACTCTTTATTCTCTTCTTTTCATGAAACCTATAGCTTAGACAATTATACAGTTTTACTTGATTGTCAATGGTAGGTTTTTGCGAAAAGGGGGGCTCTATCCTTAGCTAACGTAGGCATGTGAAAAACAACAGCTATGGGCCAATGGCCCGAAGACAGTAAAAATTACCAAATGCAACACAGAAAAAAAGACATTATGATTATATGCATGCCTGGCCGTTGCAATTCAATAGCAAAGTTCTATAAATCGTTCTATTTTAATTTCTCACACTTTCATTCATTAACTAGAAGTACTTTTCGTTTTGACATAATGGACTTGATATTGGGGCCAAATAAATCACTTACCACGCCTACCTTTTGTGATCTCCCCCTTTTTGTTATTTCATGCCTGTTTTATGGTTTTTTGCCATTTCCAGTAAGGAGCCGAGTGCTTCATTTCTTAATCTTGCATCACTTTATATTTAGAAACATACCATTTGGAAATCTTAAGTTTAATGACTTAAACTTCTATTACATTTTGTGTGGCTCAAAATAAGGTGCACTCGATTCGGTAATGTTCCAGACGCGAGATAATTAAACTTGGACATTTATTTTAGTTACACACTTTCAAACATAGTGCCAAGTACCACGTAAGGGCAGCTCCTACACATATTCAACGATATTTCACTCAAGGATAGTACCACATATTATTTTAGTATGTCCTCAGATATGTATATGTCAACGCACCTGATACGATTGGATACGTTTTGAATTGACCAACCTCTATTAAGGAATAACAGTGCTGTAGTTTAAGAGTTGTCATTGTCAATTGGCAATTTGATGATCTTAAATGCAGTTTTACTGGCGACTCATAGCGAAGTCATTTAAACAGATATTTGCGACCATCAAATCAAAATTGATGGCAGCAACTCAATAACTACTGTACTACTATTAGGAATTTAATGCATTACAAAAATCAAATGATACTTTACAGCTTGAAAAAAATCATAAATTTGAAATAAAATAAAATTCTGTGATACTTCATGAATGATTTTGGTGCATAAACATCATGGCCAAACATGACATCATACCAATAGATATTTTGTTGAAGGAGGAAAATTGGGGGAAATGTTTTATTTCTATTAATGGCAGACAAATTTAACATTGCTGTATTTACCTATTAATTGTTTCTTCTATTTCAGTGATTAAACGTTGTACGCCTTCCATTTTGGTTGACTTTATTAACAATGCTGGAAACCTGCTGACTAAGGTTCAGGGAGAGAACTTGACTGGAGTAGTGGACAGTTCAGGCAACAGTCTATCAAATGACATCATCAGTACTGGACTAGAGTAAGGGACTTATCATTTTTTACCTGGGAGGAAGGGGCTGGTCATTTTGAAATCAAACATATAACATTTTCTTGACCCCCCATAATATTTCATTATTTTTAATTTATCCCCCCCTTAAAAACATTTAAAAAAAAATGTGATCCCCCTCTATTAAACATGCAAAACACTTACCTTTGACACACATGATATGTAGGATATACTTGAAGATTCAAAAGTTCACAAATGTTTCATTAGAGATAAAATTGATCCCCCACTTTGAATTTATAAAAAAATTTGAATCCCTCTTTTCCACTTACAGAAAAAACTTGTTCCCCCCTACATTTTGACCACCCCCCTCCCAGGTAAAAAATGATAATTCCCTAAGTTGTTGGCTTACTTGTCAAAATCACAAATTTCTGTGGGTCATATCTGGGAAGTTAGCTCATGATCCAAAGTTCAGTATCACCATTTATTGTTTATGTTTTCTTTTGCAGACTATTTTAACTGCAACATTACACTGCTGAGTAATATTTATACTATTTTTGTCTCGCCTTGAAGGAGTCAAAAAGCGAGACATAGGTATGCTGTTTCCGGCGGTGGAGGTGGCGACGGCATCATCAATGTATTAGTTTGTGATTAGGTCTAGTTCATGGTGAACCACTAGTGGTAGGTCAATGATATTTGGTATACAGTTGTATTAGCATTGGCACATCTCATTACCATGGAGATTATTTGGCCCCATCCCCTCAGTCAAGGTCTATTGACTTTGAAACTTTTCATAGTTTACATGTATTAGTTTGTGATTAGGTCAGTTTAAGGGAAACCACTAGTGGTAGGTCAATGATATTTGGTATGCAGTTGTATAAGCATTGGCATATCTCATGTCCATGGAGATTATTTGGCTCCGCCCCCTTAGTCATGGTCTATAGACTTTGAAAATTTTGCTAAGTTAACATGTATTAGTTTGTGATTAGGTCAGTTCAAGGGGAACCATTAGTGGTAGGCCAATGTTAATTGGTGTTCAGTTGTATAAGCATTAGCACATCTCATTTCCATGGAGAATATTTGGCCCTGCCCCCTCAGCCATGGTCTATTTACTTTGAAACTTTTGCTTAGTTTACATGTATTAGTTTGTGATTAGATCAGTTTAAGATGAACTGCTAATGTTAAGTCAATGATATTTGGTATGCAAATTTATTGGCATTTGGCCCGAGAACACAGTTATTTCGTAGTGCATTTCTTTTAGACAATAAATTCAAATTAAAAAAATCGCACCTGCTCTATCTCAAAAAGATTTTTACAGTGTAGTGTACTACTATTGATACAAATAATATCAAAATTATAGAAACTTCTACCAGCTCTAACTCAAAATATTGACAATTCTGTGTTAAGGGGGGCTAAAATTCAGTTTGACAGCTTCCGACATTCTAATTTTTGACCTTTTTTAACTGGACCAAATCACTACTTAACATAAAGATTCATGTTTTTTTTAACATGTAATTTCATCCCCTTACTTAATATTTCATGCATAAAATATCAAGAAATAAATTGGGAAAGTGTATCAAAAAAAAATGCAAGTTATACACTGTTCACACTAGGGACTATATTTGTAGACAACGAAAACCAAAGGACGATAACTGTGTCCTTGGACCTAATAGGATAGAAAGACTTGACCAATTTTAATAAAACTTTGCATGACCTAAGCTTAGGCAATTTTAAGATAGTTGGCCAAGTTTCATGGACATAGGATATATATTTTAGAAACTAGGGCCATTTTAATATTGAAATTTGGATGTTTATTTTTGACGTTTAAATCAAATATTTTCAACTGTCAAGATTTTGGCCTAAAAAATTTAAATATTGCAAAAATTTGCTTTTTAAATACTCTTGAATTTAATATAATAAGTATTAAAAGCAACAGAACAACCATTTGATTTATCAGATTTATTACAGTTATTCAAAAGTCAAATTTATATGAGCCTGTGCCTGAAAATAGAGATTTTCGAATTAAGGGAAGCCTTACATAAACATGCATTTTTTTCAACCAATTTGAAGTTTTTGAAGGTTTTTAACCATACATTATTCTTCCATATATATTAAATGTACTTTAAATGTAAAGAAAAGTTACAAAAAGCATACTACATGAGTATGAAATGGTCTTAGGCCATGTAAGACTGAGAATTATTTAGAGTCGATTTAGGCCGTAGCCCATATTTACATATAAAAATGCACACAGAGGCTATAAGGAAGTGAAATTTGTTACTTTTTGCTCATTTCTATGCTAAGATGTCATGATACAAGAAGTCTAATTGCAAAAGGACTCTTGAATTCAACTTTTTTTTGCAGACAGTATGGTCTGATGACCAGTTTTTCACTTTTCAATGGAAAACTTGCATGTAGTTTTAGTCTCATTTGGCATATATTTGAACCACTTACTATCCTAAAGAAGAAAATTATGGTAGCATATGAAATGAATAGGGTGTACTGATCATTGTAAAGTGTTTTTTTTACAGATTTAGTGAAATATTTGTGACGGACTACAGATTTTATGTACAAAGCTCTTCACATTTCACATGCATCAAACAGGCCGTTTAACCAGGGACATAAATACAAGTATTCTGCTCATTTTTTCTGTGATAATCTACTTTTCTCTAGATTCCGAGTTCACAAATGGTTAATTAAATTTGATTTAAGCATAGAAACACAAATATCAGGAACATAAAAAGCTGTCAGATAGAAAGTCAGCATGGCTCTTAGGCATAAAATGGAAACTGCTTTAAAATGCTTATTTTAGCCATATAATGCCAAAATGGGACATTTTAACAGAATTTCTGTCAAACAAAGATGTAAATCCTTTACTTTTATTGAGTTTGACAAATTGAAACCAGAAAACCATTCAGGAAAGTTGCCAAAGTACAGAATCTACATTTACGGAATTCATCTCTTAGGCCCGAGAACACAGTTATTTCGTAGTGCATTTCTTTTAGACAATAAATTCAAATTAAAAAAATCGCACCTGCTCTATCTCAAAAAGATTTTTATAGTGTAGTGTACTACTATTGATACAAATAATATCAAAATTATAGAAACTTCTACCAGCTCTAACTCAAAATATTGACAATTCTGTGTTAAGGGGGGCTAAAATTCAGTTTGACAGCTTCCGACATTCTAATTTTTGACCTTTTTTAACTGGACCAAATCACTACTTAACATAAAGATTCATGTTTTTTTTAACATGTAATTTCATCCCCTTACTTAATATTTCATGCATAAAATATCAAGAAATAAATTGGGAAAGTGTATCAAAAAAAAATGCAAGTTATACACTGTTCACACTAGGGACTATATTTGTAGACAACGAAAACCAAAGGACGATAACTGTGTCCTTGGACCATTTGCAAGTATTGTTTCTATGGAGATTATATAGCCCCACCCCTGATCATGGTTCATTGACTTTGAAACTTTTACATAGTTTACAAGTTAATGTTTGTGTTTAGGTTTGTTAAAAGGGTACGACTTATGATAATAAGTCAATGGTATTTGGAATGCAGTTGTATTTAGCATTGGCACATCTCATTCCATGGAGATTGTTTAGCCATGTACCTTCAGTCATGGTTCATTGACTTTGAATATTTGCATAACTTACATGTTAAAGTATTGCTATTTTAATTTCAACATTTGCATTAACAAAATTACAAAAAGGCGAGACATATCTCTGTGATAACAGTTTATGTTATTCTCTTCAAGAATAACATTAAGGATAACAATTTTACTGCACCGGATGTGCATTTAGACAATTATTGTCTCTTCAGTGCTGCTCAATTTCCAAAAAAATATTAAAAATGAAGAGCTTATAAACCAAAAAAAGACAAAAATTATAGTCAAAGGCATAAAATAAAGATAAAGGAGTTTGCTTAAGAAAAACACAACATATTTTATTATTATTGTAGGAAAGAAAATGTGCTGTAAAATGATGTTTTTTGTTTTTTGTAGCGCCTTTGGTATATTTTTGAAAGCAAAAGAATATGCTGAAAAGATAATAGAAGATGTGGTTACAACATGGTGGATGATACTGTTGTAAGCATAAGTTTGAGAATTGACAAAAAAAAACATATAAATAAGGAACATAATGAATAAGGAGAGGATTAGCTTACTGCATACTTGTGACTCTGAGTGACATATAAAGCTATTGTTGATTCCTGTTTCTAGCAACTAAGTAATACTTTGCATAGGTTTGACCTTTTTTGTTATATCATCTCTGAAAATATAATTGTGCTGTGTGTGATATCCTACAATCCCTTAAAATTTTTGAGGTTTGTGTTTGTGCATATAACAAGTAACATATGTACAGTTTTGAAACTCAATTACAGCATCATTTCACAGTCAAAACACTTTTTAAAGTTATAAACAAAAGATGTAGGGTATACATTAATATGAGACCATATGAGACAAAAATCACCTAAAAAAAATCTAAAGGTCAATACACTGTTTTCAAAGAAAGACGTGTGTCCATACTATATACCAAACTCTAGTTAGCCCAAGACTAGGGCTCTCCATCTTAAAACTTTACTCAGGCCTCAGGTACAAAATTTTTGTCATCGAAACAACAAATCCAGTATTTGATTGGTTGATATCTGTGTCTCAGTATGATAATCTTCCTCAAAATTTTATGACCTCAAGGTCAGAAAAATTATAGAAAAAGAAAAAAGCAAAGATCTGCCATCAACACCAAATATGCTATAGGACAAAAAACTAAATATTATTGAAGACAATTACTGATGAGGTTTCCATTTTCAAACAGGACCATAAATATTGTAGGAGAGATATAGTAGCCTGGGACGGTGGACACACAGTAGAAAGTCATTTGTTGATATTTCATATTTGAAAAAAAATTGATAATATTTGACCAGGCAGCACCATGATGGCTGAGTGGTCTAAGTAGTTCATCTAAAGTGGCCATTATTAGCCTGTCAAGTCTGATATGATAGCCATATTGTGTGCATTCTTGTTTATCCAAATCATGGCATTCTTGCTAATCCAAATAATGTACATTCTTGTTAATCCAAATCATGTGCATTTTTTGTTTATCATGTGTAATGTTGTTTATCCAAATCATGTGCATTTTTGTTTAACCATTACCATGTGCATTTTTGTTTATCCATTATCATGTGCATTTTTGATTGTCCAAATCATGTGTGTTGTTTATCCAAATCATGTTTGTTGTTGTTTATCCATTATCATGTGTGTTGTTGTTTATCCATTATCATGTGCATTGTTGTTTATCCAAATCATGTGTGTTGTTGTTTATCCAAATCATGTGTGTTATTGTTTATCCAAATCATGTGAGTTGTTGTTTATCCATTATCATGTGCATACTTGTTTATCCATTATCATGTGCATTTTTGTTTATCCAAATCATGTGTGTTGTTGTTTATCCAAATCATGTACATTCTTGTTTATCCATTATCATGTGCATTGTTGTTTATCCAAATCATGTGTGTTGTTGTTTATCCAAATCATGTACATTGTTGTTTATCCATTATCATGTGCATTCTTGTTTATCCATTATCATGTGCATTTTTGTTTATCCAAATCATGTGTGTTGTTGTTTATCCAAATCATGTGTGTTGTTGTTTATCCAAATCATGTACATTCTTGTTTATCCATTATCATGTGCATTCTTGTTTATCCATTATCATGTGCATTTTTGTTTATCCAAATCATGTGTGTTGTTGTGTATCCAAATCATGAAGTTTCTTGTTTATCCATTATCATGTGCATTGTTGTTTATCCAAATCATGTGCATTCTTGTTTATCCAAAACATGTGTATTCTTGTTTATCCAAATCATGTGCATTCTTGTTTATCCAAATCATGTGTGTTGTTGTTTATCCAAATCATAAAATTGAGAATGGAAATGGGGAATGTGTCAAAGAGACAACAACCCGACCATAGAGCAGACAACAGCCGAAGGCCACCAATGGGTCTTCAATGCATCGAGAAACTCCCGCACCCGGAGGCGTCCTTCAGCTGGCCCCTAAACAAATATGTATACTACTTCAGTGATAATGGACGTCATACTAAACTCCAAATTATACACAAGAAACTAAAATTAAAAATGATACAAGACTAACAAAGGCCAGAGGCTCCTGACTTGGGACAGGCGCAAAAATGCGGCAGGGTTAAACATGTTTTTTGAGATCTCAACCCTCCCCCTATACCTCTAGCCAATGTAGAAGAAACAAACGTACAACAGTACGCACAGTAAAACTCAGTTCAAGAGAAGTCCGAGTCCGATGTCAGAATAGGAAACAAAAGAAAATAAACAAAATGTCAATAATACATAAATAACAACAGACTACTAGCAGTTACTGACATGCCAGCTCCAGACCTCAATTAAACTGATTGAAAGATTATGTCTTCATCATATTAATATCAGGCACAATCCCTCCTGTTAGGGGTTTAGTATTATACTATCATAAAATATATGAGAAGAACATAACCCGTGTCATGCCAACAACTGGTTTTAGAATAAATATGTTTAATTCCGATGCAAAGACTCTATAAGTGAATCAATATTAAAGCCAAAATATACAATCTTTAATGACCTGACAACAGTATCGTAACTATATCCCTTCTTAATAAGTCTGTTTAAAGGTTTTGTTAGCTTTTGAGGTGAATACTGACATTTTTGTGCTTTGTAAAGAACATTACCATAAAAGATTGGATGTGAAATACCCGAACGTATAAGATGTCTGCATGACGAGTTATATTTACGAATGATGTCCTTATACCGATGATAAAATTTAGTAAATGTTTTGACTAGTTTATGATATCGAAAACCCTGGTGTAATAATTTTTCAGTAATACATAAATTTCTCTCGCTAAAATCTAATACGTTGTTACATACACGTTTATCCAAATCATGTGTGTTGTTGTTTATCCATTATCATGTGCATACTTGTTTATCCATTATCATGTGCATTTTTGTTTATCCAAATCATGTGTGTTGTTGTTTATCCAAATCATGTACATTCTTGTTTATCCATTATCATGTGCATTGTTGTTTATCCAAATCATGTGTGTTGTTGTTTATCCAAATCAAGTACATTCTTGTTTATCCATTATCATGTGCATTTTTGTTTATCCAAATCATGTGTGTTGTTGTTTATCCAAATCATGTACATTGTTGTTTATCCAAATCATGTATGTTGTTTATCCAAATCATGTGCATTGTTGTTTATCCATTATCGTGTGCATTTTTGTCTATCCATTATCACATGCATTTTTGTTTATCCAAATCATGTGTATTGTAGTTTATCCATATCATGTGTGTTGTTGTTTATCCATATCATGTGTGTTGTTGTTTATCCAAATCATGTGTTGTTGTTTATCCAAATCATGTGCATTCTTGTTTATCAAACCCATGTGTATTTTTGTTTATCCATTATGTTTTATTTGTTAGAATGTTATCAGTTCTACTATTTTTCTTGTAGAGGAATATTGATAGCCATGATACTGTCTCTCATATGGATTATTATAATGCGATGGATTGCAGGAATAATGGTGTGGTTTACCATTTTTGCCTTTGTTGGTGCATTTGGCTTTGGTATGTATCAGTTCTAGAGACTGAATTGTCTTTGAGGGTCTGGATGGGGTTTACAGAATAGAAAATAATAGGGAAAAAAGAAATAGAGAAAAATTGGGTGCTAAAATAAAAAAAATATAGATTAAAGAATTTCATCTATCACATTCAACAAAATGAAGAAATGGTAGTCAGAAAGTCAAACATTATTTGAAATTTCTAGTTATTTTACTCTGTGAGGTAAAAATACGAAGTTTCTTTCATACTGAATTTGAAAGAAAACTAACATTAACATATTGTTTTTCAATATGTATACACCAAGTGTACAAACAATTAACCAAATGTTGGAAAACTAAAGATTATACATTAGCATTTGAAAAAAGTAGATTTTTAGGAGGGAAAGAATGGCTTTTGATTTCTTTTTATAGAAAAATTGCAGCATCTTTCAACTGTCAAATCTCTTGTGTTTAACCATAATTTTTCTTACTGTTTATAAACTTTGCACAAACTTGATTACATTTACAACAAAATCACCTGAAAAACGGTTGTTAAACAACTTATGTCAGGGGAACCATAAAGTTTTTGGTGTACACGTGAATTTGAATTCTTTATAATTATAACTGTATTCATTAAACTTTCAAGTTTGAATGACAATAAAGTTTGATGTGATATTTCTATTTTTTCAGCCACATATTACTGTTTATGGAACTACTTCCAGTTGAAGGACACCAATGAAACTTTTACAATGAATTTTTCTGTTGTAAACTTCAGCTTTTCAAAACCAAAAATGCTGCTGGCATTTGGTAAGTTTACATGATTTCAGTATTATTTATTTATACTTAAAATTTCATCATTGAAATTTGTTTTTGATATAATGTGTGATAAAGCCATAACTTGCCATCTGTAATTTTTTTTGTTGAGCCTGGATAACCACAGAACTGCATGGTCTCACTAAAATATTGTTATTGAACCCCTATTTCGCAGGAGGGGTGTACTAGTTAACCTCTTTATCCATCTGTTAGTATCAGCAATTAAAAGTCATAGGGTATAGATGTATGGCACCATGCATCTTATGATCATTTTTAGGCTTCATTGATTTAATTTTAGCTAATTGTCCAAGTACATTCTTGTAATTGTAAGTGTTTACATTTCAGTTCTTTTTTTTTCACTGAAGTTTAACCCAACTTCAACTATATTTTTTTTTTCAGTATTAAAGAAATTTTATCAAATCAATTGCAAGACAAAGCAGTCTTTATAATTAGATTTTTTTTAAAATAGAGAAAAAATTAAAAATGTGTATATAAAAATATTTTATCAACCAATTCCAACGAGTGTGTGCTCAACTAAATTTAAAAAAAAATCAGTGGTTACAAATATTATGGTTCCATTTTAAAAAGTATATATAATATAGGGCCTGGCCTATAATAGAAAGAGAATTGTAGATAATGGAAATTCCATGCAGAGATATTGTATGTTGGTTCCAGTTTGCTCTGACCTTCAATCATTTCAGTACATATTGTTTAGGGGTTAATTTTCTGGAAGTTTAAATTTCACGATTTCTATTGTGGAACCTGTTCACGAGGGTATATTGGCCCTATTCGCCTGTTCCTTTCTCTAATTTTGTTTTTACATCAAATTTATTTGACTTGGATATTTTGTAGATTTATCTCAATCACGGAATTAGTGAAAATAGAATTTCACACTTGACAGTATTATGTCATTATAGTATACACCTATTGACTGGTTATAAGGGTAATAGCAAGTTTGTTGTCACTGAGATACCAACTATTGCTCGAAGCCGATGCATTAGTTAGTATCAAAGGGACAACAAACTTGGTATTCCACTCATAACCAGTCATTAAGTGTTTTATTATTCCGAACAAAACAATTTTATAAGAAGACTACATACACCACTTGGAAAAAACCCAAATAGTCACAAAAACATGCGCAAGATGAACTATCAGGTTTTTTTTTGCCTGTGTGGTATTTGTCAATAATATTTTATTTATTTTAATCAAGACCAGGAATCCTTGTGTAAAAATTCCTGTGCATATGATAAACGCAATAGCTATAATATTTTACCATACACCAAAGCAATCCTAGATTATGAAGACAACGACAGACCCATACCATACAATTGTTATGTTTTAGTTCTTAAAATATGTCACGTAGATTTTCTTTTTCTTTTTCTTTTTTTATAATTTGCTTCTAGTAAGTAGTATTTTATTTCAAGTTATGAAGACAGACACATATAGATTATACCGTTTATGATATTTCAGAGTTTAACGTTGCCAAGTGCACAAATCCAAGAGGAATAGTCAATGACATCATTGTTCTCCAATGAAAAATTACTCAGAAAAGTACAGGAAATATGTTTATAAAACTATTGACCGTGGTAATTGTCTTTGAAACTTTTGATGGCAGATAGTCTGTGGAATGAAATAATACAAATATTTCATTCTTTTTAGCTCACCTGGCCCAAAGGGCCAAGTGAGCTTTTCTCATCACTTGGCGTCCGTCGTCCGTCGTCCGTCGTCGTCCCGTCCTTCATCGTCATCGTTAGCTTTTTACAAAAATCTTCTCCTCTGAAATCACTGGGCCAAATTTACCCAAACTTGGCCACAATCATCATTAGGGTATCTAGTTTAAAAAATGTATCCGGTGACCCCGCCAACCAACCAAGATGGCCGCCATGTCTAAAAATAGAACATAGGGGTAAAATGTAGATTTTGGCTTATATCTCTGAAACCAAAGCATTTAGAATAAATCTGACTTAGGGTAAAACTGATTATCAGGTCAAGATCTATCTGCCCTGAAATTTTCAGACAAATCTGACAACCTGTTGTTGGGTTGCTGCCCCTGAATTGGTAATTTTAAGGAAATTTTGCAGTTTTTGGTTATTATCTTGAATATTATTATAGAACTGTAAACAGCAATAATGTTCAGCAAAGTAAGATCTACAAATAAGTTGTCATGACCAAAATTGTCAGTCGACCCCTTTAGGAGTTATTGCCCTTTATAGTAAATTTTTAACAATTTTTCGTAAATTTTTGTAATCTTTTACAAAAATCTTCTTCTCTGAAACTACTGAGACAAATTTAACCATACTTGGCCATAATCATTATTAGGGTATCTAGTTTAAAAAATTTGTCCGATGACCCTGCCTTCTAACCATCATGGCTGACTTGGTTAAAAATAGAACATAGGGGTAAAATGCAGTTTTTGGTTTATATCTCTGAAACAAAACCATTTAGAGCAAATCTGACAGGTGGCAAAAATTTTCATCAGATTTAGATTTATCTGCCCTGAAATTTCAGATGAAAACGACAACCCATTGTTGGGTTGCTGCCCCTGAGTTAGTAATTTTACAAAAATTTTGCAGTTTTTTGTTATTATCTTAGATATCATTATAATATCTAATATATAATAATAGTTTCTACCTTATTTTTAGGGACTTCAATGGCCGAGTAATCTTATTAGTTTAAATAATGTATCACTAGCCTGTCAACACTGAGGTTGTGAGTTCAAACCCTGCACATGGCAGTTGTGCTAACCTCCAATCTTAGTTGACAAGGTTTGTCAGTTTTCCTGCTGAAGGTCAGTGGTTCCTTCTGGGGACCTCACTTTCCTCCACCAATAAAACCTGACCGCCATGAAATAGCCAATAGTACTGAATGTGTCACTAAAAATTAATCCATTTGTCAACTTTATTTTCAGGTATCATTGCTGGAATAATACTCACCATCATTCTGTTGATTTTACTATTTCTCTGCCAGAGGATAAGGATTGCTATAGCTCTCATAAAAGAAGGTAGTAGGTAAGAGAATGTATTAATTATTAACTGCCAAAAAGTTATTTAGTATGTAGATAGCTGTTGAAAAGGGATAACCCTATAAGAGACCTTAACATTGTTCAAAAACAAAAAGTTTATGAATTTTTATAAAGAAGGACCCAAATATCAACCACCCTCTAAAATAAATGGAAAGAATGCAAAGTTATCAGAGATCCCTCCTTTAAATCTTGTTACTTTATACAAAACTGTTCTGAAGAAACAAAATCTAGATTAAAAACAAAATTGCTTTAAATACTTTCAGAAAGCGTTTATTGTGAGTACCAGCTAACATAGCTTCCAATGATGTCACTGTTGGACTCAATACTGATATTACATTCAACTCTAGAATGTTCATACTACTATAATGGAATATAACATAGATTTTCAGGGAAGGCAGATAAATGACTATTTCTGGTCTGATGAAAAGCAAAGAATAGGGAATATAATGACCAATATCAAACCTTTTAGTTAGTTAAGCCTTATTTCTGATATGGCATCTCAGATTCATGTACCCCAAAGGTGACTGGGGAAGAGAAATATGGTCACTCTTGGTTTTCATCCGACCGGCAGTAAAACTCTTGCCAAAGTTGGGATTTGTTTCAGTGATCTGGAAGGATTTTTTCTCTATGGGCCCAGGGCCCCCCAAAAATAAATTCAATGGGCCATTTTTAGATTTAATGGGCCATGTTGTCAAATGAGTGGGCCATTCGTTTACAATAAAAAAAAAAGTAAAAAAAGTGTATATTTCACTGTACTTACAAGTATGATTCTAATTAATATCATGGATATTGTTCCTGTGATTTTGTAATTTAAATTTCAATGAATATACAATAACTTCTTCCAAACCGGGCAATATTTACGATAACCTTTATTTACAATGTTAAAACTGGTACTGTTCCCTTGTTCATGTTCATGTTTTTTTTTACATTAAATTTGGGTCTTCGTCGATACCATACTTATTCCAGACGTTCCGTATTAGAGGACGTTTCTGGCATTTTCTCTGCACTTGTATTATTATTACTTCATCACGATGACAAGAATAACAGTAGAGAGCAACGTTAATTGATAAGACACAACAACAATTCGCTGAAGGCATGTTTACAAAATGTCAAAACGAGCCAAAGACCAAAAAAATTGACAAGGACAGTTAAGCCCCTTTTATGGAGACAAATACTATGCTATTCATAAAAAGGCTTTTGGATTTTTCAATCGAAACAATAGCAAGCTTACTTAAAAGATTATAATTAGAGAAGAATTCTCGCCTGTACTAGCCAATTTTCACAAATTTAAAGTTGTTTATAAAAAATTATATCATGAATGATGGTTAATTACGTTTTTTGGGTAATCAGTCATACCGCATGTTGCTATTATTACCATAGGAAAACACCCGAGACGTCCCAAAAATATATAGGTGCTCCTATCATTGGAGTAAACACTACACAGTTGTGTACTCACACATGGCGGCACGAAATACGATCGGAAATCCATTTGACGATATCTCAACGTTTCAAAACGAAGTGAAAAATATCATGCGCCACGCGGGCGCTTACATTTATCACTCTATGCGCCATTTCTGGTCGATAAGCGCAATTGGCGCAAGGCGCACGTCCTTCCCGATCACTGTCATTTAGCTGTGCAGGATGTACAAGTACACAGTTAGAATGGGGACGTTTAAATCTGATGCCTCGTGTAGAGAGCGCTACACTCTCTGAACTTTAAGAACCCTTGCAAAAACTCTCTGAGGGGTCCGTAGGTGGTCCGGCTGTAGTCCAAATAATTATTACGTCTTGCAAGGCTATTTTTAATTTTTTTCTGTCGTCACAGAAAAAAATTAAAATAGCCTTGCAAGACGTCATAATTATTTGGACTTGTCCGGCTGTTGCAAGGTTAAATTTCTGCCTATCTGATATATGTATACAAAAAACAAAGAGAAAACAAATATGATTATTTAGATATATTTTCAGGGCTGTTGGTAGTATGATGTTTATCTTGATCTTGCCTTTGTTATTTCCATATATTATTGTATATACATTTTCAGGGCTGTTGGTAGTATGATGTTTACCTTGATCTGGCTTTTGTTATTGCCATATATTATTGTATATACATTTTCAGGGCTGTTGGTAGTATGATGTTTATCTTGATCTGGCTTTTGTTATTGCCATATATTATTGTATATACATTTTCAGGGCTGTTGGTAGTATGATGTTTATCTTGATCTGGCTTTTGTTATTGCCATATATTATTGCATATACATTTTCAGGGCTGTTGGTAGTATGATGTTTACCTTGATCTGGCCTTTGATTCCATTTCTACTGCAGTTGATTGTGTTTGGTTACTGGCTTACTATAGCAGTGTATCCTTTTTAGAAAACTATTTTAAACACTGAGTCAGCATGTATTATTATTTTATTTTCTTTTTTGATTTGAAAGATTTTAGTTATTTGGTTTAAAAACTGCTACAAGGACATTCTTCACATCTTGTTTCTAAGTATTTGAGATTTTTCATGTTGAAATTTGTAAAAGTTATACCATTTTTAAATCTGTGGTTTTGATACTTTTCTGCAATTTGGTTTTTATACACCCGTCAAATTTTTGACGGGACGTATTATGGTATACAAATGTCCGGCGTCCGTCCCTCTGTCTGTCCGTCTGTCTGTCCGTCCGTCTGTCTGTCCGGCGTAAACATGTCGCACCGTAACTTAAGAATGACTTATCCAAATTTCATGAAACTTAACATAGTTGTTTCTTATGATGGTCAAACGATCTGTATACTTTTTGGTGATAATAAGATTAAAACTTTTTGAGTTACGGGACTTAGTAACTAAAACAGGTGTGTGTTTTTTTTCACATGTCGCGCCGTATCTCAAAAACAATTTATGATTATTGCTTAAAACTTTACACACTTCTTAGTTATATTAATCTTAAGATCTGTATACTTTTTGGTGATGATTCAAAATTTTATTTTAGAGATATTGAGTATTTTGTTAAGAAAGGGGGAGGGGTTTTTCACATGTCGCGCTGTATCTCAAAAACAGTTTATGACTATTGCTTAAAACTTTACACACTTCTTAGTTATATTAACCTTAAGATCTGTATACTTTTTGGTGATGATTCAAAATTTTATTTTTGAGTTATTGAGTATTTTGTAAAAAAAGGGGAGGGGTTTTTCACATGTCGCGCCGTATCTCAAAAACGATTTATGATTATTGCTTAAAATTTTACACACTTTTTAGTTATATTAATCTAAAGATCTGTATACTTTTTGGTTTTGATTCAAAATTTTATTTTAGAGATATTGAGTTTTTTGTAAAAAAAAAAGGGGGGTTTTCGCATGTCATGCCGTATGTCAGAAACTATTTATGCTTATTGCATAAAAATTCACACACAAGACGACGGGCGTATCATGCGCTCATGGTGCAGCTGTTTATTAATTACTGGAACTGTTATTTACCAGAATCAATTAAACAATTTTGTTGATGTAATAGAGATAGAAAATGAATGTGTGCTTCTAATTTCATAAAAAAAAACAAACAATTTTATGAAAAAATCCAAAGTTATTCAATAAACAGGTATGCAATTGAGTGAGTCCTCTGTATATATTGGAAGTTTTGTAATGATAGTGATTTCTTTAATAGTATTCAGATATTTAGCCTCTACAGGTCGAGCTCAGTCGTTTGCTTTTAATAACAAATCTGTGTATGCATATCCGAACGGCTCTTGGAAATTTGATGAAATAACCAGTGCTACGTCACAACTTTTTGGTGAAGTCTGTGACGATACTTCAGTATGTATTTAACTTTAAGAGCAAAATCTTTCCAAGTACTGTGGTTTCATTTATTTTCATGGATACCAATTTTCGTAGATAGTGAAAACATTGTATTTTCATAGATATTTGATTTTGTGGTTTTGCTGAAGTCTGCATACAAACCTATAGTAAATATGTACTTCATTGAACTTTTAAATTCGTTGTGTACCTTAAGCCATGAAATCCATGAAAATTAATATCCTGCGAATAGTGATAAGTCCATTGTAGTTGAATATCAAAACACATATTCTTTGATAATTCACCAATTTTGAGTTTTGAGATTTTGATAGGACTGAACTCAATTTTGTCCTGGTTGACCTAATTATGAAAACAATGACTTTTGGTCTCGGTCATCAAATGTTTTCTTTGATGACAGTGACAGACACTAAAAAAAAATGGGAAAATGTTTTTCTTCAATGCATAGTGAAACTAGAAATTGGTTTATCATATTTAAATCAACAAAAATTATGCTCATATTATTAAGTAATATACCCTGGGGATACTTTTTAGATATATAAATAATAAGTTATTTATTCATTGAAACATTTTAAAAAAGTTATCGGAAAATATTTCAATGGCAGACAAACCCGAAATTGATGTATCATATTTTAATTAACTAAACCTTTGTTCATTTTATTGAATCTTTTATGGTAACTATTTAATTTCAGGGCAACCAAACAGACAGTGAATTTTGTACTTTTCTAAAGAATCAAGAGGAAAAGTAAGAACATATTTCAACTTACTGTGACTTTTTAAAATTACAATATGTCGTTAATAAGTTTCCATGGGAGATAACCTAAAACATTATTCTTTTGAATATAGAAGGCTTTTCGAAAGAAAAATTGATTATCTCCCATGGAAACTTCCTAACAAAGTATTGTAATTTCACACATATTTTACTGTATATAAAATGTTTTAATTCAAATGATGTCTGGTTCTTATGAATATAGAAGACTTTTCGAAAGAAAAATTGTATGAAAGCTTAGTTTGGACATTTTTATAGCAATTCAAAATTTCTATCCATCACCTTTAGCATGACAATAACAATAAAATTTCTATACAAACTGTTAGACTGATTTTTCATAATAACATTGAAGTGGAATTAAAGTCTTATAGGATTCACTGTGTATCATCGCCACCGGAAATTGGGTACTAACGAAGCGGAGAGAAATGGAAAAAAAAGTAAACAAGGTAAGAATTCATTCAATTTAAAGCATTTCTACTGATTTGACGAGGGTACCGCTTAAGAAATGATTTTCTGATATATAATTCTTTAAATTATTAGGCCGATAAGTACAAAATTAAGACAAGATTTTGTGTTATACTCAAGAACTTGCCACTTAGTACCTGAAAATTTCGCGGTCGATCGTCCTCTGTCGCCCCATTGGCAAGATATTCAACTGTTTTTCATTATATTTCCAGACACTTTTTTTAGATTATTATAGTGTGGCATCATATTTACTGAAATTTGTTGTCAAAGTGAACGTTTTTAAAGAATGTAGACCATAAAAAATAAAGTCTAGGGTACGGCAACTTGCTCATGTTGACAAATTTACTGTATGGCAACTTGTTTTCAACTGTATGGCAATTTGCTAATTTCAAAATATTTATTTGCTGTCTTTTTAAAGAAAATAAAGTATTAGGTTCAAATATCTAATTATGCATTTGATAAAAATACAATTCGCTTGACACCATTTAAGATGTATACACAATATAAGGCTTGAACACAGCCTATTTCATCTTTTACATACCTGATGTATAAAATATGAATACGGCATAAACAAAAGCTGGCAAATGTTGTAACTTTCGGAAAGGCATGTCACTGTTTTACTGACCTGTTGTTCTGCCCTAACGTAGTGTTAAATGTTACCCATGTCCGTCCGTCCAGAAAGTCCCAATAATTGGTTTCCGTTCTCTAACTTTAGTATGCCTTGACCAAATGTTTTAAAACTTACACGAAATGCTTATCACCACAAAACACAGATCAAGTTATAAATTGGGTAGCGTCACTGTTACCGTTCTTGAGTTATGCCCTATTATAAATGAAAAAAAGCTAAAGCTGTCTTTTCTGTTCTCAAACTTTAGATTGCCTCAACCAAATGTTTAAACCATACAACATTAGTCAGCATTTGCATATAAGTGATGAACATTTCGGGGATGGGTTGTGGGTGGAGGGAAGGTAGGAGGTAATGGCAGGAGAATTTTTCCGCATTGAATATTTAGAACCATTAAGTGAATGAATTCTCTTTCAACTTTCAGATAAAATGAAATATAAATGAATTATCATTCTCTGCCAAAAAAAATGTTGTATTGATACACCACGGCACCATGTTAAGGGAGGTTTGAGTGCTCACAAACATGTTTAAGCCCGCCTCAATATATATGTGTCTGTCCCTGGTCAGGAACATGTAATATAGCGGCTGTCGTAAGTTGCTGCCTGACATATTTGTTTATGATTTTGTCATAAATCAGGCAATTTTGATACGGTATGGGTTTTGTTCATTGTGAAGTGTATAGTAACCAATAGTTGGTCAAATCTATTTCACTTGGACTTTGTTTGAAAGTCCTCTCAGTGAAAACCATTCCACGTCTCCTTTTTCAATTAATGTTATTGTCTTATTTGTAAAAGGCAGATACAGCCAATACATTAGAATAAAGAACATTAATTTTCTAAAAAAAAAAACTTCATCTCTATATAGTAAGAAATGAACAAGTTCGGTGGCTAACACTGTTTAAATTTAAAAAAAATATTAACCTTAGATTAATCATTTTTGGAAAGAATGAAAGAAGAATCCGATACAAGGGATACAAATCCGGCTGTGGCTACGGCATAAACTATTTATATAAACTTTCTACTTGAGAATACAGATGACCTTGTATAAAGTTTTTTTTGGTTGTCATCTTATATTATATACTTATTAATACAATTCACAAAAGCTAGCATCTTCGACTTGTAACTTTAAAGAATTATAATGAAATAACATCTAATAAGGACAGGTTGAAATATTTTTGAATCCTGATGGTGCAAACTCATAAATTCTTTTGGAAAAATCCACGTAAATTTAAATGTTGATTTGATAGCGTTCATTTATTTATTTGCCCTTGTAAACAGTTTTGTTAAAATACCGAAATCGGTAAATTCTTATCGTGAACGAATAAGTCGGGTACAACTTTTTACATTCAGGCGTGCTTAAGTTGCACTTTTTTCTTCTTATTAAGAAAAATGATTTTAATTTTAGCATCTATCTAAAGATTAGATTATTTACACACACACAAAAATAGGGCTTACTGTTGATTTTGAAACTAGAGAAGGTGTGTTTGAAAACAAATAATCACGTACTGCTATATCTTTTAAGGCAAATGCAAGTCTTACTTGTATTAATTATATAATTTTAATTGGCACAATATCACATTAAAATTTACAGAGAAATATTATACATAGTAATCATGAAAATGTACTACTGTAAAAATGAAAATTCGGACGAATACACTCCTTTTCACTACCCCTCCATCTACTCATTTAAGTTTAGGCTAAACAGCCTTAGCAACAGTCTTTTATTATTTTTTCCCTGTAAATAAAAAGATTGATTGAATTTACTTAAAACTAAAAAAAAAAAATACAATCTTATTTTCAATAAGAAACAAGAAAATTAATTCGAACCACAATTCATGATTTATTTCTCCTAATTTTCAATGAAAACAAAGTATTTTCTTCACTTTTCTTTTAACAAATTATTCATTTCAGAAATTTAAAAAATAAATAATAAACAATGTTGAAGACGGTAACCTTGACCTTTAATGGTTTACTTTTATAAATTGTGACTTGGATGGAGAGTTGTCTCATTGGCACTCATACCACATCTTCCTATATCTATTTAACCCAGCACATTCTTTATGTGTCTGTCCGAAGCCACGAGCCTGTAGTTTGGTGGTTGTCGTTGGTTCATCTCTTTCATATTTGTTATTTTTCGTTAATTGTTTTGTTATGAGTTAGGCCGTTAGTTTTCTTGTTGAATCCTTCCACAATTTTCATGTCGGGGCTTTTCATAGCCGACTGTAAGGTACGATTTTTCGTTGTTAAAGGCCAAACGATAGCATATAATTGCTTACATACACTTTATTTGACCCTGGTGGATAGTTATCTTATTTGCAATCATACAACATCTCCACTGTTTATATTTTAAAAAAACAACAGCGCCAACAAAAGATGAATGGTCGTTTTTTTTTTTATTGAACTTACAAAATTTCACCCTGACAACAAATAAGACAACAGTCGTTAGTATTATAACGATATATGAATGTATTTAGGATAATATGGTTGAAAAAAACCTTTTTGTCTTTAAAAACAAAAAGTCAAATAGAGGTACGCAACGACGACTTCTGAACGAAATTAACGGCATATATTTTATAATATTTGATAAGTAGTTTATTTTGTATATTTGTAAGCCGGTAAAGCTTTGATACAGCCAAAATTTCGTCACTTGATATTATCTAAACAGTGATTAATTTCATCTTTAAATTACAATATATTGCAAAACGCCGTACAGACAAAAGTTGTTATTTTGCAATTCGCCATACAACGTCCTGCAATTCGCCGTACAATAAACAAACAATGTTTTGGTCCATATTCTTTAAAAACATCTTTATGACAACAGATTTCAGTCAATATGATGTCACACTATCATAATCTAAAAACGTGTCTGGAAAAATAATGAAAAACAGTTGAATATCTTGCCAATGGGGCAACAGAGGACAATCGACCTCGAAATTTTCAGGTACTAAGTGGCAAGCTTTGGAGTATAACACAAAATATTGTCTTAATTTTGTACATCGGCCTAATAATTTAAAGAATAATATATCAGAAAATCATTTCTTAAGCAGTACCCTCGTCAAATCAGTAGAAATGCTTTAAATTGAATGAATTCTTACCTTATTTACTTTTTTTTTCATTTCTCTCCGCTTCGTTAGTACCCAATTTCCGGTTGCGATGATACACAGTGGGATTGTAAGTATGCTTTATTTTATCACCTTGCACTTTCACGACTTGACAGTGGTTTTCTACAGCAGTTTGTTCAAATTTCTGACCAGTTGAACAGTTTGGTTTTATAAAACAAATTGCAATTTGGTCAGAACTTTGAATAAGTTGCAATAGGTGGAGAGCAACACTAACAGTCAAGTCACAGTAACAAGATTTCATCCAGCTTTAACTATGCAAGGCTTTGTTAACTTGTGATAGAAGTTTTCATATCCAAGTCAAACTTTTTAAAAACTAGTACTAATGTGTCTCTGATAACTATATAGGTGTTCAATTGTTCCAAACTTTTCTTATGAAACAGAAATTTAATCACTCAGGGATTGTATACTTTAAATTCAGAAATCAATAGACAACTTTCCAGTTCGATGCATTTCTGTCAAAAACTTTGGTTTTAGTGAACATCATTCGTGCGTTTAGGGGCATCGTCACTTTCGTTCCCATGTTGAGCGAGTGGTTGGAAAACTATGATGCTATATTGCACGTATTATTCGGCAAATTGAATTCTCATAATTGACAATCAGCACTGCTGTCATTAGGGAATTGTGATTAAGTACCTACAGAACAAACATTATTACTAGTTTATCCTGCACAATAACCATCACTAAGACGCTTGATGAACGTTAATAGTGCAGGGATACAGGCGATCCCGTCTATCTGGTAAATGACGTCATAAAGGCGCGCATAATTGACGAGTTTTTTCCGGTGAAGGACAAACTCGGAAGTGGTCTCTTAGTGCATTTGTTATTATGAATCCTTGACCACCAAGAAAAATGCAAAATCTAATTAATGGGATTGCAAAAATTTTGAGACGGAAAATCCCTTCTGAAAAAATGAATGCAAGTTTTTATTATTGCTAACCTGATACTGTCGCATTTTTCACATTAATAAAAACATCGCAATAATTTCTATAGTAAGAATACTTGCATTACACTGGACTTCCTTTATACTAACAACCTTTTACTAGCAAACGAAAATAAGACTATAAATTTGATTGCCCTGAAGTTTTTTTTTAATAAACCTTCATAAGGAATGCTTAAACTGAAAAATTAGTTTCTTAAAAATTTCTAAATTTAATATCAGCAGAATTTAAAAAAAGATATGTTATTAATGATGCCAGTACAAAGCACTGACTACTGAGCTGATGATACCCTTTGGGACTAGCAATCAAAAATGAAAATAACACTATATAAAGGAGTAGGGGTATTAAGTCCCAGTTTTGGCCCAAGAAAATAAAAGGTTTGACAACTATTTCAAATTGGCACATAATGTTTGGAAATGCATAGAGTGAAGAAATATAAATGAAAAACGTAAGATTATTTATATGATGACGTCACAGTTACATCATAATATGTACCGTTTTCATGAAAAAGATGAAAAATGCAGAATTTGTGCAATTTTCCATCGTTATTTCCATTACAGAAACATAGTACGCAGCCAAGAAACAACAAAATAATTTAAGAGAAGCTTTATTATAACTATTGAAATAATCTCACCAAATATAAAGTTGTTTCTTGGGTGCGCACATACTTTGCCAATCTTAAATATACTTAAAATTTGATGAAAAACAAGGAAATTCAAGAAATTTTATAAAATATACAAATTTCGTCATGGTTTGTTGCCATGGTAGCTCGTTTAATGTGAAATTTGTTTTTATTTTCTGAAAACCTTGTACCTTAGTCTAGTTAGGACAAACTTAAGGATATGTATGATAACTTTTAAATTTGCAGTAATATTTGGGCCAAATAAGGGGCTTATTGCCCCTGCTCCTTTGGTGCGTCCGAAGCGCTAAAAGGCTAAAGATAGTTTCACGAGTGGATTGATTTGAAGGAATGAATTAAAACTGAAGACTCAAAGAAAAGATTGAAACTTGAAAAAAAAGATTGAAATGGCAAAGCTTTTTGGAAAGCACAGTAATATTCTTTACTTATTTCTTCAATTCTTTGTTGTTGTGGCTTGGAAATTGATGTCAAACAAATCAATCCACTACATGCAATATGCTGAACCTCTTTTTTTTTAAATTTAATGTGCCTAGAAATTTTACTACATATATCTTACATTTATGTAAAAATGAAAACAATATGTTATAAATTTCATGTGTCCAATATGCTTTTCTGAATTTACCTTCATCAGGAACGCTCAAAGCCGAATACATTGTATTTGAAAGCCAAGGATGTATAAGAACCGAAACAGTTGAAGAGCTTTATGACTGAAAAGGACCTAAAAAATTCATCATTTGCTCTGTGTTAATTTCTGATTTTCACATTGTCTTGATTATAACTTGTAAAGGTTTGATTTCTATGAACGAATAATTGAAAAAAAAACAACAAAATAGCAATAATTAACAGTGCTAAGATATTTTTACATTTGAAATGTGACACCACCTACATAATAATCATTCTAATTTCTGACTTTTTTTTCATTTTCAGCTTCGTATTATACTCACAGATTTACAACCTGTTTATGTTGTTCTGGCTAATCAACTTCTCTATAGCGCTTGGACAGATGGTCTTAGCAGGAGCGTTTGCTTCTTACTACTGGACCTTCTTTAAACCAGAAGACTTACCATTGTTCCCTCTGTCTGGTTCCCTGTGGAGGTCTTTCAGGTAATAACTTTTATTATTCCACTGTTTAAACATATTGATAGTTTAATCAATATTTGATTGGTTTAGACTATCCCACGTGTCATTGAACAAATCTTCATATTCAATTCTGAGGATCATATTCCCCTCTGAAATGTCGGGATTACTTCGTGCGACGTTACGCGCGGTTAATGTACATAACGTTTTGAACTTCTTATTCTTCTTAAAATAGCGATAGCAAAAATCATTATCATGTTCAAATTTATTTCAGACGATAAAACAAAAAGACTTATAATTAAATTTTGATCCTTACTGTTTATCAACGGGTGTGTCGTGTTTAGTTTGACTTACAAAAACAAGCGGATAAGAAAAAAAAACGTATGCAAAATAATTTTTAATGTATTGATAGTAAACAAAGCATAGGCAGTGGAATAAAACATTCATTTCCCTTTGCCTCGGGAGATATGAAGATTTGCTCACCCTCGAAAAATCATATTTCCCTCGGGCAGAGCCCTCGTGAAATATGAATATTCTTGGGTGAACAAATCTTCATATCTCCCTCTGGCACGGGAAATACATGTATAGTATTCTATATGACCTTAATTTTTTTTAGAGGGATTTTAGGGGTTTTCCTTACCAAATCATGAACTTATCCATTTCTGCTTATATCATTTGTTAATCTCAACAGCTTGACAGAATTCAAACAAATTTGCATAGATTCTCTTAGATGGCATGAAGTTGGTATTTAAATTTTTAATCTGAATGATTATTCATAATAAGTGTGTGCGGAAGTATAAGTACAAGTCAGCATACACAGATTAATTAACTCCATTGAGCAATATGTGAGTATGGTAGAAATTATATTATTTAAGAAATATATAGATAAAAGTGTTCAAATGTCATATTTCATTGTACACTAAACAATTGTGATTTTGTACAATAATCATAGGACATAATGATACTATGAATACATGTATTGTGTATTTCAGATATCATATAGGATCCCTTGCTTTTGGATCTCTTATTATTGCCATTATACAGATGATAAGAGTTGTTCTGGAATACTTGGATCATAAAATCAAAGGAAAAGAAAATCCTGTTGCTAAAGTCCTTTTGAAGTAAGTTATTTTCATAAGTAAGTAAGTAAATTTTTATGTAGAGTCAGCACAATTATGCACAATCAACAATAACCATGAGGTTAAGAAAGCTTTTAAAAGTACTTGATAATGCTTTTTAGGCTATGTAACAAAATATTTTTTTGTTTTTTCAAACCCATGCACATTTATAAAGGTGTGAACCAGTGTTCTTGTAACTTGTCAGTTCAATTTGAAATTTACCTAGAATTTGTTATTTGGAATTGAAATTTTACCTGTATTTAACATAAGAAATTCTGGATTCAACACCTCTTATTGTATTAGAAAGTACTTGTTTAGATTAAAATAAAATTGTATTTTTTTACACTAATATGGGGCTATGGTCAAGGTTTAGTTAGAATTTGGATGAAGTGGGGGTCTGAATAAAAAGTAAGGATAATAAACTATGCCTTGGAAGAGTTATGATAAGTCAAGGGATATAAGAAGCAGAGACCATTCATGTGGGAACCAGTTTTCTGACATTTGGTCAATTCTGTTTAATTTTATGAAAAAAGCTAGATTGCTGAGTAAAATTGTAAGGTACTGAAATTGATATTGCTAGAGTGGAACAAATTTTCGGATGTGTGTGACTGGAATTACCTGTATTGCAATTAAGCAGTTTTGGTTTAGACAATTGACAAATTTAAAATAATTCTTGATAAAATTAAGGTAGGTCTGACCACTGCCTATCTCCTTGACAAATATTCCAAATCTTATTTTTGTCATATTGGCTAAAAAATTAATGTTTTCTATTTCAGGTGTCTTAAATGTTGTTTTTGGTGTTTAGAAAAGGTTATGAAATTTCTTAACAAAAATGCTTATATAATGGTAAGATATTATTTAATAATAGTATTAATTATTGTTTTACAGTTATAATACTCCTAGAACAACAAGGTTTATAATTTGTCGCATTAAGTTTTATCCTTGTCCTTACAATGTACATTTGGAAATTGGTTTCCATTCTTTATCATTAGTTTGCCTCAACCAATTGTTATGAAACTTATACATAATACTTTTTACCACCAAACACAGATCAACTTTGAATTTGAGTGGCATCACTCTCACTGTTCTTGAGGTAAGTCCCTTTATAAATGGAAAAATTAATGAATTGCCATTTTCGAACTGTATACCTTTACTTTGCCTCAACCAAATGTTATGAAACTTATTCATAATGCATATTTACCACCAAATACAGATCAAGTTCTGGCTAATCTTTTGCTGTAAATCTATTATGTTTTAGTGATATATGACCCTCCAAAAAAACATGAAAATATACAATTTTTTCAGTGTGACACTCTTATGATTATATTATTTCATTATTTTGGCGCTTTTTTCACAACAAAGGTTTGCACTTTTTTTATGCCCTGTCACATTTAGTCTTACCCTTATAAATTTAACAGAAACAATCAAAGATTTGCCATTAATGCCAAATTCTTGCCAAATTATCCAAATATAAAAATATATCAAGATATGACAAACAACAGCTATTGACAAGGTTCCCGACTTGGAACAGGCACATGGAAATGTGTAGGGGTTTAAGAAGTAGTTACAGGTTTCAACCTATCCCCCTTTTTAATAACAATCAGTAGATTAATAATACATACATAAAAGAACATATAATAAAAACCAGGCCTGTGTTTCACAAAAAATCTTACGACTAAAATTGATAAAATTGTTCATGACTTACAGTCAATTTTAATCGTAACATTTTTCTGTGAAACGAGGGCCTGTACAGGAAAAGCTCTTAAAACTCTAAAATAATATTAAAAAACACTGTAACTAAAACACAAAATAGAGAAAGCAAATTATACTGTAATTCTGAAATCATGCTGTCCTACACTTAACACCAGTTGCTGAACTTCAATGAAGATTTCAGACAGAAACGTCACAAACAGTTCTTGATTATCATAATTTATAGAATCATAAATCATTTATAGATGTAAGTAGAGTCCACTGTATTTATGTAATCAACAGGTAGAAAATTGAAAGTTATACCTCTTTGTTTTGAGGAAAAGATCTTTACCATCCATCTAAAGAAAAACAAATGTAATATTCAAATTTTGATTATTTCAGATAGCAGCACATGGTAAAAATTTTTGCACATCAGCAAGAAATGTTTTCATGCTTATACTGAGAAATATTGTCAGGTATGGTGATACATTTTTGTCTTGCCTTGACGGAGTCAAAAAGCCAGATATAGGTATGCCGTTTCCTGCGTTAGCGGCGGCATCGTTATTATCAACACTGTAATAGTTTGTGATCAGGTCAGTTCATGGGGAACCACTAGTGGTAGGTCAATGATATTTGGTATGCAGTTGTATAAGCATTAGCACATCTCATTTCCATTTTATTTGGCCTCGCTCCTTCAGTCATGGTTCATTTACTTTAAGTATTTTGCATAACTTGCATGCTAAAGTATTGCTATTTTAATTTCAACATTTGCATTTTACTACCAAAATAAGAAAAAGGCGAGTCATATCTCTGTGTTAACAGTTTATAGTTCAGAAAGACTAGTTTTACCCAGTACTTTTTGAAAGAAAAATCATGGTATTAAAATGGTGAAGTAAGGCAGAGGGGAGCTAGCTGCCAACAGTTTCTGTGCAATAACTTATGAACAGCTCAACCAATGCATTTCAAATTTTTATATGTTGTTACTGATGACAAAATTGAGGTCATTAGACAAGTTTTATATTGACAACTTTCACTTTTGCTGTTGAGTGTTCAGGAGTTCCTTGATAGATTGGAATGAACTCTTTAACCAATGCTTTTTTAAATTTGAAGATGTTGTCATTGATGACAAAAAACCAATGCTTTTTAAATTTGCAGATGTTGTTACTGATGACAAAATGGAGGTCAAGTACGATATTTACAACTTTCACTTCTTGTTCAGAAGTTATGGTCCTTGATAGAACTCAAAATCAGCAATGGTTAAATTCAAAATACAGAAAACAATTTGACACATCATTTCTTGACACGTCATTTCTTGCTTGGGGCCTCGGTGGCCGCGTGGTATAAGTAGTTCAACTACTGTAATCACTAGCCAGTCAACACTGAGGTTGTGAATTCCAAACCCGCTCGTGCTGGTGCAATCGACTTCAATCTTAATTGACTAGGATTGTCAGTTTTCCAACCGAAGGTCGATTGTTTTCTACGGGAGTCCAGCTTCCTTCATCAATAAAAACTGACTGCCACAAAATAGCACAATAGTGTTGAAAGAGGCATTAAACAACAATCAATCAATCAATCAATCAATCATTTCTTGCTTTGTATTGAAAACAATTTCATCTGGAACAATATTTTGTAGAATTAAATATATCCAACTCAGCTTATTGTCTTTTTATAAATTGATTTTTACTTGTTTAACTTCATGCACTCCTTAGCTACATTGCTAGTTCTGATATATTTAAGCTACTATTTGAAAATGGTCCATCTCTATAGTAAAGTCAGCTTTGCTTTAAAGGATATTCCTATAGTCATAAATCTATTTTTAAGTCATCAAAACTTTTTATTATACTTTTTAAATTATAGGGTTGTAGTGATAGACAAAGTTACAGATTTCCTGTTATTTATTGGAATACTCGTAGTTGTAGCAGCTTCAGGTAAGTTATACTCGCTGCCTCCAGCTTCAGGCAAGTTATACTTGCTGCCTCCACCTTAGTGATTGAAGTACCTGTATATTTATCTGCGTTTCATGCCTTCCATACATTTATCTATAGTATGGATTGACAACTGTATTCCTGCTTATTCAAAGTGTTATTTGATTTGCGTATTCTTCTATTGGTAAAAGGCTAAAAAAAAAGTGTGAGGAACTTTTTCCTGCTAATTTCAAAATTATGATAAAATTGGGAAAATATTCGCTCGTGTGAATTTGATCTGAATTGTGTAAACTTATACCCTAGACTACATTTTGATTACTTTTTCTATTTTAAATTTTAGAAATATAAAAAAAAACACTCTGCACAAAATGATCACATCTGATTGGATATTCAGTGATTGCAAGCTTTACAATTGACACTGTAATAAGATAGTATTTCAGATGATTTTTATGCCCTACCTAAGATAGTAGAGGGGCATTATGTTTTTCAGTCTGTGCTTTGTTCGTTCATTCGTTCATTCAGTCATTCGTTTGTTCGTTTGTTCGTTCGTTCGTTCGTTTGTTTGTTTGTTTGTTTGTTTGTCTGTCCGTCCGTCTGTCCCGCTTCAGGTTAAGGTTTTTGGTCAAGGTAGTTTTTGATGAAGTTGAAGTCCAATTAACTTGAAACTTAGTACACATGTTCCCTATGATATGATCTTTCTGATTTTAATGCCAAATTAGAGTTTTGACCCCAATTTCATGGTCCACTGAACATAGAAAATGATAGTGTGAGTGGGACATCCATGTACTTTGGACACATTCTTGTTTTGGTTATTTTTTTCATTCACCATGTGGTGTGTGCTCGAGATGATTTGTTTTAAAAAATCGCCATTTGATAAAAGTTATGGATTACATTGGGTAATTTTGAAATAATAATAATCATACAAAACTTAACAAAATTATTTAGATACTTTTGAATATTTTCAGGTGCTTTTGCATTCCTTTTCTTTGATGGCAGAATAACATTCCTGAGTTCCTACACACCAACACTCAACTTCTATGTTGTTCCTATTGTGGTGAGTATACCTTTCTTTTCTGAATTCACCAACTCTCAACTTCTATGTTTTTTCTATTGTGGTGAGTATAATTGTAGGATTAGGAGAGGGAGTGAAGGCAAAAAACTGTTACTGAACTGACCTTCTCAAGCATGATATTTGGAGGTGTAGGTAAAGAATTTATTGGAGAGGAGAGAAGACAACAAACTATTACTGAATTGACCTTCTCAAGGGCATTAGTTTTGGAGGGTTATGTGGGAAATTTAAGTTTTCCATGCAGACCATCAGCCAGAGTGACATATTTTCTGTAAAAGGTTTGATAATAAACCTGAGACTTGTTGATCCAATATTGATTTAATATTTCAGAACAACTTGAGTCTTTGGTCAAGGTAGTGTTTGATGAAGTTGAAGTCCAATCAACTTGAAACTTAGTACACATGTTCCCTATGATATGGTCTTTTAATTTTAATGCCAAATTAGAGTTTTGACCCCAATTTCAATGGTCCACTGAACATAGAAAATGATAGTGTGAGTGGGACATCCATTGACTATGGACACATTCTTGTTCTGTCTATGAAGAAATAACCCCGAAAATGTGGTGCACACTAAATAACTCATGTAGCAGGTTATTTAAAAGTGTGCACCACATATTTTAGGTTATTTCGAATAGACAGAAAAAATATTACAGTCATTCCTTATAATTTAATGCTAAAAAGGATTAAATCATGATAAAAACGTTAATGACGTCACGGTCACATGACAAAATTATGTCTATGAGCTGATTATACAAAACACATTCATCCAATAAGAAGACGTGTTACATCCAAAATTAATCATTGAAAAATAGTATTGATTAATTATTATAAGGATTGTATACTATAGTAATTCTAACAAATCATTGTAATTTATGATCAATTTCTTTTACATTTTAGTGGAAAGGTCAATATATGCTTCTAGAATTATTTCAAATTCATTTCTTGTCAGATTTTCATTACTAAATTGAGAAATATCTATATTTAATAAGTGTATTCAAGGAATGACTGTAATATTTTTTCTGTCTATGAAGAAATAACATCAAAAATGTGGTGCACACTGAATAACCCGTGTAGCGGGTTATTTTAAAGTGTGCACCACATTTTTTATGTTATTTCGAATAGACAGAAAAAATATTACAGTCATTTCTTATAATTTAAGTTAAATTCCATTTTAAATCGTTGTAAACCATGAAAAAACGTTGATGACGTCACGGTCACATGACAAAATTATGTCTATGAGCTGATAAACAAAACAACGTCAGCCAATCAGAAGACGTGTTACATCCAAAATTAAATTATTTGGTTATGATTTTATTTAAAAGAATTTTTATTTTCTGATGATTAAAACACAAAAGCCTTTTAAAGGGGCACTAGCTGTCAAATTCATGTTCACCGATTTGACTCAAATTCTCATATAAGATTTATAACAATGATAAACATTTATCCAAATTTATACAAACTTTTATTAATTTATTTATACAACATTTACTTTTCTTTCTATTTATATTCTCTATGTCTTTTCACTTTCACTTTCATTTTCTATTGATATAACGTCACCATAACTAATGTAATTATACTTACACTTCCGGTTAACCGCTCAACCACAAGAAATGCACCTCACTGTAAATTTTATATGTAACATGCTCTGATGACGCCTATCTATAGGTGAAACATGTCAACCAAATAAACAGATACTTTGCGGTAAAAACTTGAGTGTGTTGTCTTTATTGTCGACATATTCATTTTTTTTCAAGATGACTGAATACCTAGCGGTATCCACACGTTTTTACCCTACCGCACAATCACCACTTCAGGTGTTGGTTCACTTATATTTTTACAATTTATCCAAATTATAAAAAGTCTAAAACAAACAATTTACAGGGCATGGGCTCGATAATATGTAGCTTTTTTTCATGTGTATTTTACTATCTAGATGCCATCTAATTAACTATCGAGATGACCCAGAAAAATCACATAACACGATATAAACATAAACATAAATATAAATAGATATATGGACCTCGTGCAAATGGTTTTTCTATGTCTTTTTGATTTCAATTTTAAGGTTAAAAAAATATGTTAACTTTCGATTTTACCTGTATAAGAATGATTTTTTGTGGATCGAATAAGTCAATCAAATGATTTACCTTTGTTTCACTTTCAATGTTGACATTCTGTTCTTTTAATAGCCTAACACGCATCAATCGTGCATAATCCATCTCTAGCTAAGGGGTTAGATTGAAGTTCACATGAATACGGATTCAATGAGTCGAATTATTCACTTGCAAGTGAATAATTGATCATCGATGTTTCTTAGCTTATTTTGACAAAATTGAACCATACTGGCTGCTAATAGCAAATTATTATTTCACTATTTCACTTTCACTAATGATTAAACAAAAAAAAATCATTATTTAAATTTTTTATGTATTTCGTAGCTAGTGCCCCTTTAATTCAACTAATTTCCTATTTACTTTAATAAATTAATTTTACAATACATAACATATATTTGCACATGAAATACAAAATGTAATGATGCCATAGCTCCAAGAAACCCAAAAACTTAAGCATTTTTTTAATTGAATAGTATTGATTTATGACACAAAATCTGCTCTTACCAAAGCAAAGGAGTAGTTTTGACAAGTGGAATATATGCAAAACACTTTAAATTTCCGTTATTTATTTCTTTTTCAGTTGGTTATAATTGGAGCTTACATCATAGCGAGTGCCTTTTTCAGTGTGTATGGTATGGCAGTAGATACGTTATTCTTATGTTTCTGTAAGTATACTGGTATTTACTGTGGATTCATTATTATTCGTTGGATACCAATTTTTGTGGATTTCGTGGGTACAGGTGAACCACGAATTTAAATGTTCAACGAATTACAACAGCTTGTCAAAGTCAAAGTCAAAGATTTTATTGATATAAAATTAGGGATGTCAATGAGTACTCGAGTACTCGAGTATCGCTCGGTAGTACCGAGTATCGATTACTAAAATGATACTCGACTAATCGGTTTCCTGTTAGAATGTTGTTGCTTTCTTAGGCTTAAACAAAAAAAAATTGCTTTTATTGAGAGCGCCTCCCGGGAAATTAGATATTAATCAAAATTAACAAAAATTAAAATACGATTCGAATGTTTGCGTGTAACTGTCATTTAAAATTCCCTGAAACAGAGTTTGAATATATGGACAAGAGTGTTTTTTTACCAAGGCTTACACTTTTATCTAATCTTAGTCACTCCCTCACCTCTGTGCCGTCAGAGCATATATTTTCATCAGCAGGACTGTTAGTTAACTTACAAATTTGACAAATCTCCTTGTAACAGAAAAAGTTGACAAGACAATATATTCTTAAATAAAAACAAATTCTTTGCACCTTGTGTTGACCCTCAAAATATTATTAATGGCATCAGTAAGTTCTAATCATCACCCCTTTGTTGATCATTAAATATGTTTATTTATGGTTCCCAAATACTGTTGTTTGAGTAATAATTTTTCTAAAGATATTAACTAATTACTTGATTAGATTACTGCCAGTTTACATAATTAGTACATGTAGTAAATGAGCTGTTAATTTTGGCATTAAAATTCCTCAGACTATTATCTAGCCCTAGGTAATAATGTTGGGGGTTTTATAATCATAAGACAACGACCCAAGTATGTAAAATGGGTGTAATTTTGTGTTTCCATTTTGTAAATGTTTTACCGAGCTAGTACTCGAGTATCGCTCGGTCAATCAAATGAGTAATGGATTAGTAAATCTTCACAGAGTTGACATCCCTATATAAAATCCAAAATCTGTATACATTGTCATCAACACACAGACAAAGAACAAACATTAATCATTACAATCAATTATATAACAATACAGAACATAAAAAAAAAAAAAAAAGGTATATAATGAGAATTTTTATTTTTCCCTTATATCTGTTTGACCGAGGAGGTACAGTTTTAGATACTAGTAATACAATTTATATAATATAAACATAAAATAACTTAAGTTAGTGAACGTCTGAACTTGTACATCTCATTAATACCTTTAATGCAACATTTACTGACATCATAATCATTACTTCGAAATATGAAATAGAATTTGTCATGGCAGAGCATTATTTTACATAAGATTGCACAGTAATACTGTGGATTCATTTACTTTTTTGGGTCGCAATTTTCATGGATTGAGGACCAAACTTGCATTTTCATGGATATTTGTGATTTCATGGTTTTGCTTAATTCAGCACGTATTCCTATAGAACAATATTTGTAATTCGTTTAACATTTAAATTAGTGGTTTCCCTGTACCAAAGAAACCACAAAAATTGGTATCCAAGGAATAATAAGGAATCCACATTAAACATATTTTCTTACTGTAAATCACAGAATAAAAGTAAAAGTTCCACAGCAAATGATGAGTTGTAATTTGTGAGCCCTCTGCAGATCTGACCAAACAACTACTTCCTGTTTTCAGATACTTTGAATTATGAGTGGGGGTATGCTTAGCATGACAACATTTGCATTCTAATTGTTCTTAGAGTGATGTATCATCTGACCTTATATATTTTCAGTGGAGGATTTAGAAAGAAACGATGGCAGTGCAGACAAACCTTATTATATGAGTAGTCAGCTGATGAAAATTGTTGGCAAGAAGAATGTTTTGGCACGCAGAGATTCTAGATAATCAAATTAAACGTTTTAAAGTGAATGTACTTGAGAAGGTTCTGGCAGCAATTGATTAGACAAATGCTAGATTTAAACTCCAACATGACAACATAGTGTTAATTTTCGTCTCTAACTATAACGAATGATCGAATTGGTAGTACAATCATTTTGTAATATTCAAGGATACAATACTGATCTTTGCCATAAAAATACCAGGTGTTTGTCTGGTCTTGTGTGTGCTTTCACTTGTACAATCTTGCCAGATTTGATAAAATCTGTATCAAAGGTTTATATCAGCAGTGTCAGTGGACAAGTTTGAAAACTCATTGCCTATAAATTATTTTTCAAAGAGTATAAATGCCCCTTGGAAACATTTATGGAAAATTGCATTGTGAGGGCTCTCATGTGAACAATTCTTGCCACAATTTTAGGAAATTAATAACAAAGGTTAATATCAGCAATGTCTTCTTGAACAATATGTGAAATTCAATGCCAATCAATTCTTTTTTATAAGAATTATCACTTGAAAATAAGATATGGAAAATTGCTTTGTAAGTGCTCTCAAGCCTACTTTTCTGTTATATAAAATCATATATATAAAAAGTTTATAAGACCTCCGAATTTTTATTTAATTTATTACCATTGTAGAGATTTTTAGGCAGATTTAAGCATAAAAAGGGAATGAAAGAAAAATGTATTTAAAAAAAACATGTTATCATATTTAAACCCTATTCAAGGAATGGGAGATAACTCTTGTCAGTATTAATTAAAATGACTTTTCTCCCCTTGATTTTTTTTCAATAATTGAATTAGACTTATTCTAGATGAATGTTATTTTGTAATAGCAAATAAAATTGATAATCTACCATCACTCAATACCCTGGTCAAATTTTACTTACATGGAAAATGTAACATGTATTTTACATATTAGATTGATTGATTGATTGTTGGTGTTTTAACGCCACTTTTAAGCGCCACATTTGGGCTATTTCGTGGCGGCCAGTTTTTATTGGTGGAGGAAGCCGGGTTGCCCAGAGAAAACCACCGACATTCGATAGGAAAACTGACACTCCTAGTCAATTAAGATTGGAGTCGAGTGCACCCGCTGAGCAGGGTTCAAACTCAACTCCTCAGTGTTGACTGGCTAGTGAATACAGTAGTAACTACTTAGACCTCTCGGCCACCGAGGCCCCTTTACATATTAGATCCTAAAAATGCACATTAATTAGGCTAAATACATAAAATGAAATAAAAATAGAGATTCTTAGAATAATCTTTTAGCTAGATATAGAGTAACAGCTGCATATAGTCTGATTTGTAAACTGCCTTTGTCAGTTTATTAAATAAAGTTAAACAAAATTGATTTAACATTTTTTTAGAATTCAAGAATAACTAATCAAAGATCTTAAATATAGAAAAATATTCATTTAGTCACGAACAACACATTATTTCATGAATGTTATTCAGTCACAAGTTGAATATTTTTTTCGATAGTTGAATTCTTGGATTAGTTATTCTTTTTATAACATTGACCATAAACTTTTTTAAAGGAATAAAGCAGAAAATACATGCACTTACGGTATTTCTTTATTTCACTTTCTTAATTCATTTTCATGCAACCTGATCGACGATGTCTTGAAACACCCATTGTTGTAGGAAGTTAGTGGAGTGTAATTATCAGAATTTATTTCAAATGCGAAATTATCTGTTTTTATTTTTCTGGGAAATCACGGTATTTCATTTCAACTAATGTAATAATAATTTTTATTTTGCATTGCCTATTGTTATTTTTTTTTAAATTGTTAATTGAGTGTGTATTGTTTGATATATTTTGAGCTTTGTATGTGCTGGCACATATTTTGAATGACATGAAATTGTGATATATATTTTTATATGAATTGTCTTTCTTTGGTACTAATACTTGTACATTGCTATAATCCAATAAGTTTTATATAATAGCAAAGGCCACTCACTACTGGTACTAATCATGTCAATTTAAAACCTTCTATAGTTTAAATTGACTTAATTGAATTGTTTCATGATTTGGGAAGGTTAATTTCTTGATAAGATAATTATTTTAGAGTTGCTCTATTTTTAACTTAGGCAGGAAAGGACACATGTTTTTTACTCAAAAAAAAAACCAGACATGAATTTAAACAAATTTATATAGAATTGACTGCTTGCAAGAAATTTGTAAACAAGGTGAAGGGTCTTTGCTAAACATTGGAAACTAAAGTGTTTGCAAATGATTGGGTCATAATTTTAAATTATGTGAAGCAAATATTAGACAGTCATTATACATATATCTGAATATTATAAATTTACAATCATATTTATTTAGAACTGCTGCAATAAAGTATTCCGTCCACTTTTTAGCTGGTCAGTCCATTTGCCATCACTTACCATTATTTTTATGCCCTGTATATGATGGAGGGCATTATGTTTTCTAGTTTGTGTATGTCTATCAATCTGCCAATTTGTCCAAAATTTTAGTATTTTGGTTTTTCATGAATGATAGAAGTTTTCAGGCCTAAAACAAATATGCATTACAAATACAAATAAAATATTAATGTATTCCAATAGCTTTTTTGAACATTTGAAGGATGTTATTTAATACATTCATAAAATGCTTTGTATGTTTTATAATTTTAATTGGCAAACATCACAATATTATACCTTTTTCTTTAAACTTATTTTTGTCGTATTTGTTGATCCACCATCAAAGATGAGCTATGTTTACAAACTTTGAAATTTAGAAAAAAATAGAAAAAAGTTCCCTGAAATTTTTTTTCCCTAAAATGAATTGAGATAACGAGTATTAGACCTGTTCCTCAAGATTTGTTTAAATTTTTACAGTAGTCGGATAAAGGATACAGACTCAGAGAAACTATAGTTCAAGGAAATTATTGAGGGGTTATTTCAGTATTATTAACAGTGAAGTTTTAAATACCATTTTCTACTATTATTCTGTGATTTTTAGCATACACCTGTCATGGATGGGAAATATTATGGTGCACAGTTGTCAGGCATCCAAATAGCATGCATACAAAAGCTAGAGAATGTTTTAATCAAATATCATGATGGAATATTTGAATTGGTGGAAGAAAGTTGCCTGATGATATATTATTTTTGGTCTGTTGTTCCAGCATATCGTGACTTTAACCATTAGATTTAAAGCAAATTTTTTCACATATCACACACGAATTCACTTATGCTTGGATCAGTTTATTACCTGAAACTTTACTCTTTGTTAAAAGGATTGGTAGAAATAAGTTTCCTTTGCTTTTGAAAATTTTCTGGTTTATCGTTCCAGGGTTTTGGGACTTGAATTGTTAGATTTAAGAGAAATTTTTACATGTTTATGAGCGATAATTCCAGCATGTTTTGATTGATTTAAAAGAATATTTACACTATATCGTTGAAATTGGTAAAAACAAGCTCCCTTGTGATTTTGAAAATTTTAGGATCTGCTTTTCCAGAGTTCTGGGACTTTGTCAAAAATAAATCAATTTTTTATGACCAATATTATATTAATTGCAGTTCCATATTACTAACAGGCGTTTTTTGGGCTCTTGGCACAGCTGTTTATATTTTCAATCTTTCTGAGTATTCTTTAGATCCAAAGTGCCATGTTAACTTTTGTTATCACAGAAATTTATTCCTATATTTAATCTATCTATGAACTTTCATTGATGTTTCACCATTGGGTTTCCTTCTCAACTGAACAAACTTATTGTAGACTGAAGTTTTCCAACTGAAAACTAGCAAAACTAAATTTAATATATAAAACTTTGATTTATTGTATATGTTAATTTTTTTTTTCATATTATTTTTTCCAAGCATTGTTATTTTGAATCATTGTTTTTTGTGTGAATATATTTTATTTAAGACAATGTTATTTACTTATTAAATATTTAATTTTTATCTTTCTATTGTTATGAATTATTCCACTTCTTCGAAAATATCTTGTTATACTCCCTGCTTTCTAAAGTGGGCTGTATTCAGTGATGGAATACTCCCTGCTTTCTAAAGTGGGCTGTATTCAGTGATGGAATACTCCCTGCTTTCTAAAGTGGGCTGTATTCAGTGATGGAATACTCCCTGCTTTCTAAAGTGGGCTGTATTCAGTGATGGAATACTCCCTGCTTTCTAAAGTGAGCTGTATTCAGTGACGGAGGGGTCCTTCTTTCTGTACCGTGTACGTCCGCTTTTTTCTTCTTTCCCACTTTTGTGACCGCAACTTTTGAACCACTTGACAAAATTTTGTAAAACTTTCACATTATCTTCCACACATGATGTACTTTTGCATTTGCTACTTTCTTTCTTCATCTGAATTATTTTTTGCCTTATCTTTGTATGACATGGATTTCATCATATCACAACAAATTTAATCTACTCTTTTTAACCCCTAATCATAACTTAATGAAACTTCTCAAAAACTTTACCATATATGCTATTGTGCACCTCCTATTTTGTTTTTTAGTGTGAATTATTTATAGGGTTTCTGTTGGCAAATCATGAACTAATTTTAAGGATTGAAAAAGACTGTATTGTCTACCTTTATTTTTCTTTTCATTTACCTCTCACTACTATTAAAGTAGTATGGGGGTTTTCCAACATCCCTGATCATAAAATTGCAGAAAACAACCAATATAGATATTTACTGAAACAAGCAAATTGTGAGGCAGCAATGCAATCCATCAATTATGTGATTTGATTTTATTATTTGGACTTCTTACAAATACAGAATATTTATTAATTGATTCAATTTTTTTTTAACTTATCCACATGTGGAGATAACTCAGATAATTTAATTTTATAAAGGAATGTACACTTAATTTTCTATGTTGCATAATAGCAAGAAAAATACATGGTCAACCCATTTTTTCTCTCTATTTAATAAGACCCATTTTTGTTTGTTTATACCCTACACCACAATTTGTAAAAAATCTGATAGTTTTGGCATTTAAAATCCCTACTAACCATAAGCTGTTAACTTACAGTACCTTCTAATCCCATACAAGTTTTTCCTGGTCTGGTTACTGGGTCATTCTTATCTTATAAAGCCTCAAGTTTTATGAAGCTAGCTATTCTTAAGTATTGGTTAAATATATATTTAATTTTGCACTTTTCAAGTTTAAAGAAAACAACACCTGATAAATTTTGTGCTTCCTAAGCACTTTTCTAGATATACCTTCAGCAGAAACCTTAGAAGCTATACAATCTAAAGGGACCAAAAATAAACAGTCAAATTCATCTATGGTCAACTTTGCGTAACAATGTATTTGATTTTAACGAAAGAAATCGCTGCATTACTGAAAAATTATTACACCAGGGTTTTCAATATCACAAACTTGTCAAAACATTTACTAAATTTTATCATCAGTACAAGGACATAATCCGTAAATATAAATCAATGTGCAGACATCTTACATGTTCAGGTATTTCACATCCAATCTTTTATGGTAATATTCTATACGAAGAATTTTAAAACTAGACATCATTGAAATGGGAGCCATCTCTGTGGGTCCCGCTGTAAATAACATGTGGTAAAAAATTTGTATCTTTACCATAGGACATGGGGTTGTCAACTGAAACCAAAATTTTTGACCTTGACCTTTGACCTAGGAAGTTGTACATACATTATGACACACCCTCTGGTGTTGGTTAATATACATGTCAAGTATAAACTTTGAAATCATAACGGTTATCAAGATATAGAGCAGACACAATCTTTACCATAGGACATGGGGTTGTCAACTGAAACCAAAGTTTTTGACCTTGACCTTTGACCTAGGAAGTTGTACATACATTATGACACACCATCTGGTGTTGGTTCATATACTTGTCAAGTATAAACTTTGAAATCATAACAGTTCTCAAGATTTACCATAGGACATGGGGTTGTCAACTGAAACCAAAGTTTTTGACCTTAACTTTGACCTAAGAAGTTGTACAAACATTATGACACACCCTCTGGTGTTGGTTAATATACATGTCAAGTATAAAGTTTGAAATTATAACAGTTCTCAAGATATAGAGTGGACACAATTTGTTATGGACGGACGGACAGACTGATCACTATAGGGTGACCCGCCACTATGCGGGCCCTAATTAATATTGATTCACTCATAGGGTCTTTGCATTGGAAAAAAACACATTTATTCTAAAACCAATTGTTGGCATGACACGGGTAATGATGGTATGATACTAAACCCTTAACAGCAGGGATTGTGCTTGATTTTCATATGATGAAGACATAATCTTTCAATCAGTTTAATTGAGGTCTGGAGCTGGCATGTCAGTAACAGTGCTAATAGTCCTTTGTTGATTTATGTTGATCATTAGTCATTTTGCTTAGTTTCTTCTGTTACCTATTCTAACATCTGACTTGGACTTCTTTAAACTGAGTTTTACTGTGCATATTGCTGTGTGTTTGTTTATTCTACATTGGCTAGAGGTATAGGGGGAGGGTTGAGATTTCACAAAACATGTTTAACCCCACCACAATTTTTGCCTGTCCCAAGTCAGGAACCTCTGGCCTTTGTTAGTCTTGTAAGTTTTTTTAATTTTGGTTAATTTATATGTTTCGGGGTTAAGTGAGACTTCCATTATCTCTGAACTAGTACACATTTTTGTTTAGGGGCCAGCTGAAGACCGCCTCCCGGTGCAAGATTTTCTTGCTGTGTTGAAGACTCATTGGTAGCCTTGGGCTGTTTTCTGCTCTTTGGTCGGGTTGTTGTCTCTTTGACTCATTCCCTGTTTTCATTCTCAATTTTATTACTCTCCTTATATTGATTTATAGGAGTGGGTCCTGGTGCTTATATCAAATGACACACACACAAACACAAAAAAAAATGTTTATTGCTTTTTTTTTAACAAATACACAAATTTTCCTGAAATACACAAGGTATAAGTTATTTAAGGGAAACATAGCAATTATTATTTCTTAATGACTAGCAAGAAAGACTAAAGCTACCAATATATATATTTTGGAATTATGAATAAATAAGAAAATAAAAATATTCATATTATTGAAATACTGAAAAACGCTGATAGATGCAAATATGACATGATAGAAGACACATTTATTCATATTTCATTAATATACATAATGCAAATTATTTGTATCCTGCAAATTAAATCTTCAATATATATATAAAAAATTCAAGTAATCTTGATTCCAAATGGATGAAATATGACAGGACTGGCAATACCTTACACTGGCCCACGCAAATTATGAGCCTAAATGTTAAAACTATATATACCAGGAATTAAAAAAGATCAGTCATTACTTAATAGAAAAGTAAGAAGTATGATTGCTTATGAGAAGACCAAATGACGTGGATGTAAGGAATTATAGGAAACTGCATGACCTTGAACAATGAGCAAATCCCACAAGTATATATTTTCAATTTCATCTATTTCTTATAAAATATAAACATTATATAAATATAAATATAAATATAAACACAATGGCAAGATATAATTGCTTCAGAATGAGAGGAAATATGAATGAATAAAAAATGTAGCAAATAAAGCTATTAAACTATCCTGCTCAGTTGAAAACTAACATTTAAACTACAGACAAATACATGATCATCCAATTTGTTCTTCTTCCCCTAAAAAACTTGCCTTCACAAAGTCCTATGAAGCATTTGCCCCCAAATTTTTCTTGACTGATGTAGAGAAACCTGTAGTAACTGCAGAGTTATCTTCCCCTTTGATTGTCACGTAGAGAAACTTGGTATTGGTTATTAGTTAATGAATGGCAGATATAGACAAATAGACACGAGATATTCCTGTCCCACCAATGCTCCTGAATGAGACTGTGTACACGCCCCACTTTTCCCACAATTGTCAGTCCATTTGAACATTGAATACACTACAGTTCAGGTGGGTTTACCTCATGGGTAGTCAAGGTCGTTAAAAACCACCCTCATGTCATGGTTTGGCTTTTTTCAAGGTTTTGTATAATTAATTCTTATGCTTCAAAAAATCACCATTTTTGAATTTGAATCGGACAACTTAAATAAAGGCAACAGTAGTATAATAGCGCTATTCAATAGTCATAAATCGATTAAGCGAATACAAATTGGGGTCACAAACCAAAACCGAGGAAAACACATCAACTATAAGAGGAAAACAACCGAACAACAGAAACACTGAACTGCAACAAAAACAAACTCTAACATTAAACTTTCTTGAACTCTGATATTCTTTATTGACATCATAAATATGACTCTACGGAAAAGCTTTTCCGTAGAGTCATATTTATAACATTATAATCAAGGCGATATACGGTCAGTGACTATATATTACAATGAATATGCAGTCAATGCAATTTCATTGCTTAAATACATGTAGCACAGTTGCAGTATAAACAATCTGAGGACAAGACAATATAGAAAGTACAGGAAAAATTTTGCTGCCAGTATTTCTGGTAAAAAAGACTCATTTACCGGTTAATAGTTTTTTAAACGATTACCTTAACCAGTTCATAGTCTTTTTTACGTGAAAATGTTTGCTTCCAGTAAATAATTTATATCCAGTTAATAAGTTTTGAAACTATTAACCAGTAAATAGTCTTTTTCAGGTATAATAAATCATTGTATCAACCTCATATGTTAATCCCCAAGAAAAAATTACAATGTTATTTTCTGCTAAATAACCTCAATTTTGTTTTCTACTGAAATACACAAGGTCTACGTAATTTAAGGGAAACATAGCAATTATCATTTCTTAACGACTAGCATGAAAGACTAAAGCTACCAATATATATATTTTGGAATTGTGAATAAATATGAAAATAAAAATATTCATATTATTGAAATACTGAAAAACGCTGATAGATGCAAATATGACATGATAGAAGACACATTTATTCATATTTCATTAATATACATAATGCAAATTATTTGTATCCTGCAAATTAAATCTTCAATATATATATAAAAAATTCAAGTAATCTTGATTCCAAATGGATGAAATATGACAGGACTGGCAATACCATAAACTGGCCCATGCAAATTATGAGCCTAAATGTAAAAACTATATATACAGGGAATTAAAAAAGATCAGTCATTACTTAATAGAAAAGAAAGAAGTATGATTGCTTATGAGAAGACCAAATGAATGGATGTAAGGAATTATAGGAAACTGCATGACCTTGAACAATGAGCAAATCCCACAAGTATATATTTTCAATTTCATCTATTTCTAATAAAATATAAACATTATATAAATATAAATATAAACACAATGGCAAGATATAATTGCTTCAGAATGACCTCAATTTTGTTTTCTACTAAATAACCTCAATTGTTATACAACTGTAGACATATTAATTAACCAGTAAATATCTATCATTTGCCTGTTGGATTTATTTCAGCCCACCATTTTTTTTTTAATTGTCTTGTAAAAAATTATATCTAGCTACCAACTGTTTTCAAGATTTATGGATATTTCTTATTTCCTTTTTTTATTTTAATTGAGACATATTACAAGTTCAATTCCAAAAACTGTCATTTAATTTATAACATATAAAGATCTCCTTCAGGCATCTTTATAGTTTTCAAATGCCAAGGTCTACACAAGAGTGCACACGCTGAAATGTCTCGCCTTCTTTACTAATCATTGATATTATGTTGATAGTCCTAAATATAAAGCTTTACTACAACTATCACATACACTTAACATGATCCAAGAAAATGAGGTCAAGGTCATATAAACCAAACAAGAAATACATGTACACCTTACAATCATTCAATACACTAAATATAGTTGACCTATTGTTTATAGTTTCTAAGATACAGACTTAACCAAGAAAACTAAACATTGACCAATGAACCAAGAAAATGAGGTCAAGGTCAGATGAACAATGCCAGGCAGACATGTACTACAGCTTGCAATCCTTCCATACAACAAATATAGTTGACCTATTGCTTATAGTATTAGAAAAACAGACCAAAACACAAAAAACTTAACACTGAGCAATGAACCGTGAAAATGAGGTCAAGGTAAAAAAAACCTGCAAGACTGACAGGTACATCATAAGATATTTCCATACACCAAATATAGATGACCTATTGCATAAAGTATTAGAAAAAAAGACCAAAACTCAAAAACTTAACTTTGACCACTGAACCATGAAAATGAGGTCAAGGTCAGAAGACACCTGCCCGCTAGACATGTACACCTTACAATCATTCCATACACCAAATATAGTAGACCTATGGCATACAGTATAGGTAAAACAGACCAAAACACAAAAACTTAACTATAACCACTGAACCATGAAAATGAGGTCAAGGTCAGATGACACCTGCCAGTTGGACATGTACACCTTACAGTCCTTCCATACACCGAATATACTAGACCTATTGCTTATAGTATCTGAGATATGGACTTGACCACCAAAACTTAACCTTGTTCATTGATCCATGAAATGAGGTTGAGGTCAAGTGAAAACTGTGTGACGGGCATGAGGACCTTGCAAGGTACGCACATACCAAATATAGTTGAACTATTGCATATAGTATTAGAAAAAAAGACCAAAACTCAAAAACTTAACTTTGACCACTGAACCATGAAAATGAGGTCAAAGTCAGATGACACCTGCCCGCTAGACATGTACACCTTACAATCATTCCATACACCAAATATAATAGACCTATGGCATACAGTATAAGAAAAACAGACCAAAACACAAAAACTTAACTATAACCACTGAACCATAAAAATGAGGTCAAGGTCAGATGACACCTGCCAGTTGGACATGTACACCTTACAGTCCTTCCATACACCGAATATACTAGACCTATTGCTTATAGTATCTGAGATATGGACTTGACCACCAAAACTTAACCTTGTTCATTGATCCATGAAATGAGGTCGAGGTCAAGTGAAAACTGTGTGACGGGCATGAGGACCTTGCAAGGTACGCACATACCAAATATAGTTGAACTATTGCATATAGTATTAAAAAAAAAAGACCAAAACTCAAAAACTTAACTTTGACCACTGAACCATGAAAATGAGGTCAAAGTCAGATGACACCTGCCCGCTAGACATGTACACCTTACAATCATTCCATACACCAAATATAATAGACCTATGGCATACAGTATAAGAAAAACAGACCAAAACACAAAAACTTAACTATAACCACTGAACCATGAAAATGAGGTCAAGGTCAGATGACACCTGCCAGTTGGACATGTACACCTTACAGTCTTTCCATACACCGAATATACTAGACCTATTGCTTATAGTATCTGAGATATGGACTTGACCACCAAAACTTAACCTTGTTCACTGATCCATGAAATAAGGTCGAGGTCAAGTGAAAACTGTGTGACGGGCATGAGGACCTTGCAAGGTACGCACATACCAAATATAGTTATCCTATTACTTATAATAAGAGAGAATCTAACATTACAAAAAATCTTAACTTTTTTTTCAAGTAGTCACTGAACCATGAAAATGAGGTCAAGGACATTGGACATGTGACTGACGGAAACTTCGTAACATGAGGCATCCATATACAAAGTATGAAGCATCCAGACCTTCCACCTTCTAAAATATAAAGCTTTTAAGAAGTTAGCTAACGCCGCCGCCGCCGGATCACTATCCCTATGTCGAGCTTTCTGCGACAAAAGTCGCAGGCTCAACAACAAACCAAGCCATGTGATTGATATACAAGTATTTTAAATGTTAAACAGTTTCTAAAAAGCAATTTGTTTTAATACGTGACAATTTTTGCAGTAATAACAGAATCTGAAGAAAGCAAAAAATCAAATACATGTATGAGGACAAAGTCCTTAATTACTACATTTGTATAAGAAAATCAATAAAACAAATAAACAGTTAACACAGAGATATGTCTCACCTTTTTGTTATTTCGATAGTGCAAATATTTAAATTAAAATAGCAATACTTTAAACATGTAAGTAATGCATAAATTCAAAGTCAATGAACCATAACTGAAGGTAAAGGGCTGAACAATCTCCATGGAAATGATTGATTGATTGATTGGTGATTGCTTTACGCCACATCAGCATCCATGGAAATGAGATGTGCCAATACTAATACAACTGCATATTAAATACCATTGACTTATCATAAGTCATTCTCCTTAAACAAACCTAAACACAAACATTAACTTGTAAACTATGTAAAAGTTTCAAAGTCAATGAACCATGATGAGGGGGTGGGGCTATATAATCTCCATGGAAATGAGACTTGCAAATGCCTATATGTTTGCATATCAAATATCATTGACTTTACATTAGTGGTATTATCCATTACATGACTTTGAAAGTACAATTTAAAAAAAACATTGTTCGTAATTCATTTTAATGATTTTCTGTATTCACTAATTAAGGGCAAAATATTGCTCATAATTCATTTTAATGATTTTCTGTATTTGCTGAAAGGGCAATATATTGGTCATAATTCATTTTATGGTTTTCTGTATTCACTGAAAAGGCATGTGCCAGACGATACTAAAAACATGACAAATGACTGTTTTTAAATTCAAAAATACAAATGAACATGTCTGGCCTCAGATTTATTATTAAAAGGTCTAGGAGAAAATAACCCAGCAAAACAAATTAACCGAAACCAGACATCTAGCAGTCAACATATCAGGCCTTATTAAAAAAGAATAAAAATACAAACCTTATATTTTAAATATGCCTGCTGAGCCGGATTCAGAATATTCTGAAAACAAGGCAGATTTTTTTAAATTTCAACAAATAAATTTAAATTCTAGAATTCCAGCTCATTGTCATCTGCAGAATACTGCTTTATTTTAATGTGAAGAATATACAACATAACCCCTCACGAGTTTACTTATTCAATTAAAATTGTTGAGTTGGTTTAATTCAACACTAATTATTTAATTAGCAAAGCAGTGAAACATATAATTTTTACACTTCAGTGATTACTCTGGTTTGAACTAGAATTTTATTAGTATATACTATTGCATTGAAATCTACTCACTAGTTATTTTCACTCTTTTTATTGGATATGTAAATTTCCTTTGTTGTAAAATTCTTATTTATACTATAGCAAAGTTTTATCTTTACTTTTTGAATTTGATATTACGTTGAAATTAACCACCCTCCCTCCTCTTTCTTAATCGTTTTGTTTTAATTTAAAGTTCAATAGACAAATGTTTGCCAAAAATTTGCATATATATGTAGGACTCAAATCTATGGCGGGTTCCAAATCTATGGCAGATTCCTAATCTATGGCAAATATGACGTTACAAACGCCAAACAAATCAAATCTATGGCAGATTTTTGTTTTCTCCAAATCTATGGCAGATTTAGGAATTACGTAATTTTCCGGGGAAAAGAGTAACATAAAACTTCACAATAAAATAACGCCATATAAGTCGTCGCCGACAGTAAAGTTGTTGGCTCTCCAAACTTTCCTGAAGTCCTGTGATAAAATACTTAGGAAAACACTTTCCGTTTTCCCTCTAGAACAATTTGCCGATGGTTTAAATGAAGATGTCATCTTTTATCCATAGGTTTAAATGAAGATGTGATCTTTTATCCATAGGAGGGACACTAATTATTGTACCGTCCGAATCCCGCGATCAAGAAAGGCACAGCTGTTTTTAGTAGTTGATATTTTGGGAATGGAGTTATAGTAAATATTTTAGCGTCTACGGCTGGTAAAGTATTTAAAGTGAGAAATGAAATTACAGGATAGCACCTTGACTTAAATCGTCACCAGTTAAAAAAGATTGATTAACGCTGAAATAAATATTATGTGAAAAGTCAAACTGTTTAAATTGTTTTTTATAAAAAACTGCTTTCATGTTTGTTAAGGGACTTCCATTTTTCTAGTTGTTTTAATTAATGGATTTAACAGGTACCATGCACAGATTAGAAAATGCTTAATTTTCCGGGGATGATAATTTTAATCCCGATTTCTGTATGATGGTATCTCACTTCTACACTTTTTTATGGTTGACATCACGATTTGGTTGACCATTATGGAATTTTTATTTCACAAATGTTTATAGACATGCTCCCGTTGTCGTACATTTCAACTTATTTAAGACAAGTCAGTGATTGTATATGTACTGCCTTGCTCTACATTTGCACAAAATCTGCAATAGATTTGGAAACAACAAAAATCCGCCATAGTTTAGGAAATTACAAAACTTGCCATATATTAGGATTTTAAAAAATCTGCCATAGATTGGGGATGGCATGACGTCATATTTACCATAGATTAGGAATCTGCCATAGATCTGGAACCCACCATAGATTTGAGTCCTACATATATATATATGTTTTTGTTTTATCATTTGTGTATTGATATATTGTTTTTTGTAATATTAAAAATAATATTTACGACAGGCAATACAAGTTATACCTATTGACTTCTTTTTATTTCACCCAGTTGATAAATTGATAACTTCCATTTTGATTTTGTCAAGAGTTATAAATATCTTGTCAAGATATTGAAACCATTGTTACATAGCTAGATTATACCACATTTTTTTTATATAGCTAGAATCAGGTGATTTTCCTTAGATTTCACAGAGAGAAGTAGAGTTTGTTTGGTTCCAACACCTGACACTTTTTATAAGCTCTAGACAAGATTAAAATTGAAACAACCACATGCAAGATTTAAATCTACCAGTTTGTTAATACATGTTCCGTCAATGCTGTAAAACAGCTTTTCAGCATTTCATTATAATACCAGAGAATGAACATCTGTACTTTCAATTGGGTGTTAAATTTTGTTTAGAGATATCAAAAATATTTTCTCAGTCACATAATTAAATCTGCACCAATGATATTTTCTGTTGTGAGATTTCATGAAAACACATGCACCTATAAATGTTCCTTTACAAAAATGACCTTGTTTTTTTCATATAAAATCATCTTTTATCAATAGCACAGATAAATTGATCCAAGACTTCAAAGACCTTTCTCAATTTCAATTCCCGGTTGTTAAGAATAGGAAATCAGATTCCTAATGATGACCTCTGGTGGATAATTAATTTGTCTCTCCGGAAATCAAACCACATCTCCTTGTTTTTATATGAAGTACAGTTAATAAAAATATATCTAAACAGGAAAGTCAATACCAACTACTTGCTTCATTTCTCTCAATTTAATAATAATTAACTAGGCAATGGCAAGATTATACGAGGGTCTTGATGGATAGGGGACTTTTATTTCTGTATTCTTTATTTTTTTAGGCTATTATTTTATATTCTTTATTTTTTTTAGGCTATTCTTATATATTATTTATTTGTTTACCATTCTTCTTTATTCATGGTTCTTTATATTTTGGACAAATTTTCCCTATTTTAACCCATTATTCTGTATTCTATAAAACCCATCAAGACCCTATTCTTAGGAATCAACTTGTATTTAAATAAATGGACAGCTTTGTAAATGATAAGCCTTAAAAACCAAAAGTTTCGGAGTCAACCTTAGTTCTTCAACTTTGGAAAACTAATATATATCTGTTTTAAACCATTAAGGTTAAACATAACGAGAACCAAATAGAGAATAAACAGCTGCGCCATGAGCGCATGATACGCCCGTCGTCTTGTGTGTGAATTTTTATGCAATAAGCATAAATAGTTTCTGACATACGGCGCGACATGCGAAAAACCCCCTTTTTTTTTTACAAAAAACTCAATATCTCTAAAATAAAATTTTGAATCAAAACCAAAAAGTATACAGATCTTTAGATTAATATAACTAAGAAGTGTGTAAAACTTTAAGCAATAATCATAAATCGTTTTTGAGATATGGCGCGACATGTGAAAACCCCCCCTTTTAAAAAAAAAAATCAATATCTCAAAAATAAAATTTTGAATCAAAACCAAAAAGTATACAAATCTTTAGATTAATATAACTAAGAAGTGTGTAAAATTTTAAGCAATAATCATAAATCGTTTTTGAGATACAGCGCGACATGTGAAAAACCCCTCCCCCTTTTTTTACAAAATACTCAATAACTCAAAAATAAAATTTTGAATCATCACCAAAAAGTATACAGATCTGCAGGTTAATATAACTAAGAAGTGTGTAAAGTTTTAAGCAATAATCATAAACTGTTTTTGAGATACGGCGCGACATGTGAAAAACCCCTCCCCCTTTTTTAACAAAATACTCAATATCTCTAAAATAAAATTTTGAATCATCACCAAAAAGTATACAGATCTTCAGATTAATATAACTAAGAAGTGTGTAAAGTTTTAAGCAATAATCATAAATTGTTTTTGAGATACGGCGTGACATGTGAAAAAAAACACACACCTGTTTTAGTTACTAAGTCCCGTAACTCAAAAAGTTTTAATCTTATTTTCACCAAAAAGTATACAGATGGTTTGACCATCATAAGAAACAACTATGTTAAGTTTCATGAAATTTGGATAAGTCATTCTCAAGTTACGGTGCGACATGTTTACGCCGGACAGACAGACAGACAGACAGACAGACAGACAGACAGACGGACAGACAAACAGACGGACGGACACCGGACATTTGTATACCATAATATGTCCCGTCAAAAATTTGACGGTCATAAAAAAAAGTTAGAAGATACGAAGGGGACAATGCAAATCTTAAGTAAAAAAAATCCCACAACATAATGATAAAAAAAAAAAAAAAAAACATTAAAAATTGAAGATGGATGAACAAACACACTTGTTTCTTCTGGGATTTTTTTTGTGCAGCAAAATTGTCCAAGGTTAAATGTTATTTTTCCATATCTTGAACTCATAATGATATTGGAAACCCTCTGAGAGGATGTAAAAATCTGTGACATCTGATTAATGATCGCTTGTTGTTTGCTTAATGTCCAGGGGCAAATACTTCATGCAAGTTCAGGATGATTGATTGATTGTTGGTTGCTGAACATCCAGTGGCAAATATTTCATGCATGTTCAGGACGAGAACATTGATTGATTGTTGGTTGCTGAACATCCAGTGGCAAATATTTCATGCATGTTCAGGACAAGAACATTGATTGATTGTTGGTTGCTGAACATCCAGTGGCAAATATTTCATGCATTTTCAGGACGAGAACAAATCAACAATTAAAACATTAGGTAGACTATTGATATGGGTTTTTCTTATTGTTGATGGCCGTACAGTGACCTATAATTGCTCATATCCACGTCAGTTGAACTCTGGTGGATAGTTATCTCATTGGCAATCATACAACATCTCCTCATCTTATATTGATCAATTACCATACTTCCAATAAGTTGTAGTGTCATATCAACCAGATATCTATTGTGAACCAAAATAAGGCAAATTTATGTTTCTTGTTTGAATTATTTCCCATTTTGTCATATGTAGTTCTAGTGATATCAACCAGATATCTATTGTGAACCAAATCGCCTTTGAAATAAGGTGAAATGTTTCTTATATGAATTGTTTCACATTTTGTCATGTGTAGTTGTAGAATCATATCTACCAGATATCTATAGTGAACCAAAGTGCCTTTGAAATAAGATGAAATATGTTTGTTTGAATTGTTTCACATTTTGTCATGTGTAGGGTAGTTGTAGTGTCATATCAACCAGGTATCTTTTGTGAACCAAATTGCTTTGTAATAAGGTGACATATGTTTCGTTTGAATTGTTTCCCATTTTGTCATGTGTAGTTGTACATGTATTGCCATATCAACCAGATATCTATTGTGAACCAAAGTGCCTTTGAAATAAGATGAAATAGGTTTCTTGTTTGAATTGTTTCACATTTGTGTAGTTGTAGTCATATCAACCAGATATCTATTGTGAACCAAAGTGCCTTTAAAATAAGGTGAAATATGTTTTATTATTGTTTGAATTGTTTCACATTTTGTCATGTGATGTGCATTTGTAGAGTCATATCAACCAGATATCTATTGTGAACCAAAGTGCCTTTGAAATAAGGTGAAATATGTTTGTTTAAATTGTTTCACATTTTGTCATGTGTGGCTGATTTGTCATATCAACCAGATATCTATTGTGAACCAAAGTGCCTTTGAAGAAAGTGAAACATGTTTGAAGACAGAAAACAATATCTGTGTATTTGTATGAGATTTACTGCATGTAATTGGAGGATGCAATTGTGTTGAAAATGGTTAAATATTGATTGAAATACAAAATTTATTAATACAACTCTTGGCAAATTTTGAACAGAAATATACACGATAAGAATAAAAATGTCCGTTTTAAATATTATGAAACCTGAACTCTGGTCACATTTTTTGAATTATTTAAACAATCACCCTGATTTCGGAATTTACAATATATACATAATCAATACTGATAAATAAATTAAAAATATATAAATATTCTTATTCGGTTGAAATTCATACAATAGCTTAACATCTGTTTAATATTTTCTATAATGCAGATATGTACAATAGAGACAGCATTAACGTGTAACCGCTCAAAAAGTCATGTCAATGATTATATAAATGATTGTACAGCATATATTAATCGTATCACAGATTATAAAATGCAATGGTGAATTTAATTAGTAATCTTCATCTTTATCCTTTTTTGATACTTTTGGCTTTGTATTCTTCTTGCCTAAAATTTTCATTAGTTCTTTTCCCATATAGTAAGGTTTCTGTTCAGAGCCATCATTTCTTTCCAAATCCTCCACTAAAAAAAAAGTGCATAATGGTCAAATTTATTTTTTAATGTTCATAAATTTGTTTTTGATGTCTAAAATCCATACTTTAATTAGATATCATGCTGCAAAGGTAGATCTATTATATCTATATAGTTATTTCAACATTTGATTCATTTCATTTCTATTACCGGGTACCAAAAAAGCTTTTTTACTATACACAGAATTTTTTTGTTACCTTATTTAAATGTTTTATGGTCAAATTCATTGAATAATACTATTTGTGTGACTCTTGCTTTCCTCTTGCATAAATATCTTGCTTCCAGGGAACTTTTGTCTCGCTGTAACCAGTCAAAATAAGTTCTAAAACTTAGTACTCTATAAATTAGTAATTTCAGCACTTTAATACACCTGATATATGCACTTTTTACATGATTATATTGTTTGCTTTACAATGATTTCTCCTCTCAAGTAAAGTTCAGAGAAACTATTTACAGCACATTTTTCAGCTTGTATATATGAATAGAGTACTTCACAAATGAAATAAAATATTGTATCAAGTAGATTTGTTACAAGATTTCTTCTTATAGTTAATTGGGATCTTCAGACAAAAACCAACTTTATTTAATAAAAAAAAGAACTAATATCCACGAGAATTATTTTCATATTGATGCAAAGATGCTTATTTGGACATATAAAGACATTATAATCAAAAGTAATAATTTTTTTAACACAAGGATGATCAAGATTGATTTCTTGTAAGAAAAACCAATTAATTCCAGACTATTTATTCAGATCCAAAATAAAAAAATGATTCAATTTGTCTTCATTACAAATTAATAAAGAATCACAAAGGACAAATAGAACACCTGCTAAAACAATTTATCTTAAACAGGATAATAATCTTTTTTTGTCTAGACCATGGAAGTATTATATTGACAGGAACTCTAACAAACCAACTTTAAACCTTTATAGTGCGATGCCGCAAAATCGTTAAGTATATGTTATTTAACTCGACATGTCATATGGATGCATGGGTTCAGTCAAATTTTTGGAACCTCGTGATTGATCGTAATTACGGAACATACAGGAATAACTGGATGTGTACTTAATTGTCATAGAAATGACATTTAATGACCATGTCACTAAATGACAAATATGTCAGTTTTGACGAGTTTTGCTGTATTAAAACAAATAAAAGAAAGAAACGAAAACCCCACGACTGTTTTCACAAAAAAACTGAAGATTAAAAATACTCGCAAGCCATGAATATTTCTGTTTTAGTTACAATCAATTTAAATAGTAAGATTTTTTATTCATGAGAGGGCCATTGGCTAAACATGCATAACTGTTATATACATGATAGGCTTGAAAATCATAACTAGAGGCTCTTGAGAGCCTGTGTCGCTCACCTGTATCTACTGTGTTTTTGGAAATCATGTAAAATAAGGTTAAAATCATAATAAATAGTATTAGATACCCTAAATGATTGAGGTCAAGTTTGGTTTTATTTGGCCAAGTAGTTAAATTAAAAGCAGGTTATCCCATTGTAGTCTTACAATAGTTACTGAAGACCCCTTATCATTATTTAAATTAGTTTTCAAGTTGTGATCATTTGAAATTGGTATTTTTACAATTTTCCCTTAGACTTCTATGGTAAACCCCTATGTTCTATTTTTAGCCATGGAGGCCATGTTGGTTGGATGACAGGGTCATCAGATATATTTTTCAATCAAGAATCCCTATTAAAAATTGTGGCTAAGTTTAATTCTATTTGGCCCAGTAGATTAAGTGGAGAAGATTTTTGTAAAAGATTACAAAAATTTACGAAAAATTGACTATAAAGGGCAATTACTCCTTAAGGGGTCAATTGACAATTTTGGTCATGTTAACTTATTTGTAGATCTTACTTTGTTGAACATTATTGCTGTTTACAGTTTATCTCTATCTATCATAACATTCAAGATAAAAACCAGAAACTGCAAAATTTCCTTAAAATTTCTTATTCAGGGGCAGCAACCCAATAACGGATTGTCTGATTTGTCTGAAAATTTCAGGGCAGATAGATCTTGACCTGATGAACATTTTTACATAGTCAGATTTGCTCTAAATGCTTTAGTTTCAGAGATATAAACCAAAAACAGCATTTTACCCCTATGTTCTATTTTTAGGCATGTCAGGCAGACGTAGTCATCAGACACATTTTTTAAACTATATTCTGTAAATTCAGAAATTATTGCGTGCATTTATTATTGCTATTTTTTCATTTTAGACTAAAATGCGATTTCAATTTTTGCGATATTGAGAAAAATCCTATTTAATTCATATAAAAAATTTCAAAATGCGAGTTTAAATAATTGTGATTATAACCCAGTCGCAATTTTCGCAATAATAAAAACATCGCAATAATTTCTGAATTTACAGTACCCTAATGATGATTATGGCCAGGTTTGGTTAAATTTGTCTCAGTAATTTCAGAGAAGAAGTTTGGAAAAGATTACAAAAATTTACGAAAAATTGTTAAAAATTGACTATAATGGGCAATAACTCCTTAAGGGGTCAATTGACAATTTTGGTCATGTTTGACTTATTTGTAGATCTTACTTTGCTGAACATTATTGCTGTTTACAGTTTATTTCTATCTATAATAATATTCAAGATAATAACCAAAAACTGCAAAATTTCCTTAAAACAAGAAATGATTGTAACAGGATGCTGTTTCGAGGTCTCCTAAACAAAGATCCCATAATTACAGTTATTCCCATGGTCGGTGGACATTGGGCAAACTCCAGTAAAAATTGGTTTAGTCCAATAAAGTGATATGCATTAGTGACCCCTGGGGACTGACCCTATATATCATTCAAATCTTCGTGAAATGACGAACAGAAATATATATGGTTTAGGGTTGGGGATCTTGACCATTTACAAGATATGAGAACATATTCAAATGACAGGGGGTGGGGATGATCCCTTGGGTCTTACCCTCTATATCATTCAAATCATCTTGTCATGACAAACCAGAATACATATGGTTTAGGAGTGGGGATCTTCACCACTTACAAGATATTAGATCATTGGGGGTGGGAGAACCCCTGGGGACTGGCCCTATATATCATTCGAATCTTTGTGACATGACTAACAGGAATATATATGGTTTAGGGGTGGGGATCTCCACCATTTACAAGATATCAGAACTTTCTAAAATGGCAGGGTGTGGGAGTGATCCCTGGGAACTGACCCTATATATCATTCAAATCTTCTTGACATGACGAATAGGAATATATATGGTTTAGGGGTGGGGATCTCGACCATTTACAAGATACTAGAACTTTTTCAAATGGAAGGGGGTGTGGGTGACCCCTGGGGACTAACCCTTTATTTCATTTGATGTGCTTTATCATATAGAACATATTCAGTTATAAAGATGGTGTCTATCAATTTTTTCAACAGTTTTCAAGTCATAAAGATTGTGTCTATCAATTTTTCAACAGTTTTCAAGTTATAATCATTTGAAAAGTAAAAAAATTAAAATCCCATAGGGTTCTTTATTTCATTTGATGTGCTGTATCATGACTAACCAGAATACATATGGTTCAGGGGTGGGGATCTCGACCATTGACAAGATATTACAACTTTCTCAAATGGCAGGGGGTGGGGTGACCCCTGGGGACTAATACTTTATTTCATTTAATGTGCTCTATCATGACTAACCAGAATATATATGGTTTAGAGGTGGGGATCTTGACCACCTGCAAGATATTAGAACTTTCTAAAATGGCAGGGGGTGGGGGTGATCCCTGGGGACTGGCCCTATATAAATCAAATTAAAATTCAAATCTTCTTGACATGACGAATAGGAATATATATGGTTTAGGGGTGGGGATCTCAACCATTTACAAGATATTAGATCATTGGGGGTGGGGGAACCCCACTGGGACTGGCCCTACATATCGTTCAAATCTTTGTGACATGACGAACAGGAATATATATGGTTCAGGGGTGGGGATCTCAACCATTTACAAGATATTAGAACTTTCTCAAATGGCAGGGGGTGGGGGTGACCCCTGTGGACTTACCCTTTATTTCATTTGATGTGCTTTATCATGACAAACAAGAATATGTATGGTTTAGGGGTGGGGATCTTGACCACTTACAAGATATTAGAACTTTGTCAAATGGCAGGAGGTGGGGGTGATCCCTGGAGACTAACCCTTTATTTCATTTGATGTGCTTTATCATATAGAATATTTTCAGTTATAAAGATTGTGTCTATCAATTTTTTCAACAGTTTTCAAGTTATAATCATTTGAAAATAAAAAAAATTAAAATCCCATAGGGTTCTATAGTAAACCCCTCCCTTCTTTTGGCCCCTCAAAGTACCCGGTACCCCTTTTTAGACCCCAATGCACAAACAAAACCCTGATTGCACCACTAGACATGTTAGTCTAACATATTGTGAAACCTTAAGTAAATCTGACAAGAGGTTTTGGAGAACGGTGCGGACAAGTTCATTTAAACTAGAAGCTCTCAAGAGCCTGTGTCGCTCACCTGATTCTACTTTGGTTTTGGAAATCATGTTAAAATAGATTAAAATCATAACAGATACCCTAATAATGAGTGAGGCCAAATTTGGTTTAATATTGGCCCTGTAATTTAATAAAAAATCCTGGAGGCCATCTTGATCAGTAAATCAGCAACAAAGTAGCAACACTTCATCAGCACCTCTTAAGAAACATTTATGCCATGTTTGGTTTCATTCCATTCAGTGCACCTCTAGAAGAAGCATTTGTATGTATTTCCAATAGGGTCTTATGTTAAAGGAATTCCCCCCACTGGCGGCCATAGTGGATGAAGGATCAGCTTCAAAGTAACAACACTTAGTCAGCACCTCATAAGGAACATTCATGCCATGTTTGGTTTCAATCCATTCAGTGGTTCTCTAAAAGAAGACATTTGTATGTATTGTCCATAGGGTCCTTTGTAAAACACTGTCCCCAGCTGGTGGCCATCTTGGATGATGGATCGGCTTCAAAGTAACAACACTTGGTCAGCACCTCATAAGGAACATTCATGCCATGTTTGGTTTCATTTCATTCAGTGGTTCTCTAAAAGAAGACATTTGTATGTATTTCCCATAGGGTCCTATGTTAAACTAAGTCCCCTGCTGGTGCCCATCTTGGAAGATGGATCAGCTTCAAAGTAACAACACTTGGTCAGTACCTCATAAGGAACATTCATGCCATGTTTGGTTTCATTCCATTCAGTGGTTCTCTAGAAGAAGTTCAAAATGTATAAAGTTAACAACGACGACGGACGAAGATGACAGACGGATGCCAAGTGATGAGAAAAGCTCACTTGGCCCTTCGGTGAGCTTAAAAGTGGCTGAAGAGGAAAAGGGAAGAGGGAAGAGGAATAATAATAATAATAATAACTGAGCAAAAACAATAAGTCTCCAAACTTCAATTCAGGGGCAGCAACCTAACAACGGGTTGTCTGATTTCGTCTGATAAACATTTTTACCCCATGTCAAATTAAGACAGATTTTGAGAACAGCATGCAAACTAAAAGCAACTGATAAGTTATATGAGCGACCTTTTAAAATAATTCAGAAGATATATATAAGTAAAAATAAATAAATTGATAGAATTGGCACAAATGAAACCTACAGTTTTCAAACTGAAGTGGCGCAAAAGTTAAGCATTGGCATAAATAAGTTGTGGCACAAATGGATTCATTTTTGGCACAAATAGATATCAGTCATTTTTCTTATGAATTGTTTCACATTTTTTTCCTGCCTGGGCCTTTCATAGCCTAGTACATGGTATGGAGTTTTTTCATTGTTGAAGGCCACACAGAGACCTAATATTGCTTATATCCACTTATTTGAACGCTGGTGGATAGTTGTCTCATTAGCAATCATACCACATCTCCTTATTTTTATACCTATCAGACATACATTTACACCTTACAAACATTCTATACACCAAATATAGTTTAAAAGCTATAATTACTAACAGCATCTGATGAACAAACCTAACTAAAACCACTAAAGCTCTGTCAGATTAGAATCCTAATGTGTTGACATATTGAGATTTTGAACACTAAAAATACCTCTCTCCACAAAATTACGAATATTTCTTATTGAATTCATATTTCACTTCCTGAATTTCTAAATCTGCTCTAAAACAAGAACATATCATACAATTTTTTTCCAATTCAGTTATCCTATCATCAAAGAATTATGGCTAGACAACACATTATGCGAAAAAATCTTTAACTGACGAAAACTATTTATAAATATATTGATTTTCATTTGAGGATCATTATAATGAACAAGGAAGGAATGGCATTCCTGCCATTACAATGGAAAAGTGCTACCTGTGTAAAGGCAGTTTTTCTAAACTGATTTGACTCCTAGAGATTTATGGAAAATAGGCATTTTCAAAATTTGCAAAAATCTGCAAATTAGCAGACTCTTGATACTACAGAAGATATCAAGGTTATTTGCAAACTGTTTATGGCACTGACAGAAAAGCAATACCTTTGTCTTACCTACTTAATTTGTGTTGCAGTTGTGAAAAAAATTGTTAAAAGACACCAAAAAAAAATCAGGATTTTTAAAGACTGGGACCGCAGACTTCCATTCCAATAACTGTTTTCTTCAAGCTTGGCCTTTCGGTGCTTAATGTATTGACACATTTCACTGTCTATGTGGGCTTAAGCCGTTGTTACAACACCAATCAGTATCGCTTGGTCTTGGAGGCAAGCAATATGACAATAATATCATCCAAAATATCTTTGTTTCTTGAGATGGCACCCTCCCATCCTGCTCCTTGAACACAAATTTTAACTTGATGTTTTTTTATCAGTATGAAGCATTTGCTTATTTGCATATTTTTGCAAGTTTAGGAAAAACGGCATTTCTTGTAACGCTTATTCATGGCGAGAGTTATCTACAAATTACCTGGATCAAATCCAATTGTGGATATTTTTAGGCATTCCACATAATTTGGAAACAACAAATTTAACATATAATATGACTTACAAAAACAAAGGAAAAGTGTATCCACTGCCATGTCATATACGCTGAAGAAACAACTGGCTATAACATACGATCCAACTGTTATCAGCTAAAATACAAGAAAAATAACTACAACAAACTGACTGTTTAAGGGGAATCACTCCTACGAAGAGGGACAGTCTACTAACTTTACCGAAAAAATTTGACTTGTTAGTAGATCTTGACTTGCAGATAATTTTTGTGATTTAAAGTGTCTATTTATTTCTTATAATTTTTTTCATATAAGGCAAAACGCAAAAAAAAAATGTTACGAATCATCATTAAGGGGCTATAACTCCAATAAGGAGTCGTCAGACAATTTCCTCCATATGTCTTCATTTTAGATCTTGTCTTGCTGATCATTTTAGCTTATTTAAGTTTCTATCTAACATAATTTTTAAGATATAAGGCAAAAATGCAAAAAAATGGTAAAACTCGTCATCAAAGGGCAATAACTCTAATAAGGAGTCAACTGATGATTTCGACTATGCAGACTTATTGGTAGAACTTGTCTTGCTAATAATTTTTGCAACTTAAAGTTTCTCTTTATCTATTATAGTTTTCAAGATAATAGGCAAAAAGGGAAAAAAAAGGGGAAAATTTGTTATTAAGGGCAATAACTCCTATAAGAAGTCGTCTGCCAGTTTTGACATATATGAACAACTGCTAGAGTTCAACATTCTGAAAATTTCTGCTCCTGTCAGATTTTCAAATAATAGACGAACCTTGCATTTTACCCATATGTTCTATTTTTAGCCATGTTAGCAGGCGGGGTCATCAGACACATTTTTTAAACTAGATACCCCAATGATGATTGTGGCCAACTTTGGTTAAATTTGGCTCAGTAGTTTCAGAGGAGAAGATTTTTGTAAAAGTTAACAGACGACGGACACCAAGTGATGAGAAAAGCTCACTTGGCCCTTTGGTGAGCTAAAAATTATTTGTGATTTCGATGACATCAGTTTGAAGGTCAATGTCAGGTTTACACCTATCATATCATCAAGTTTACTTAACAAGGACTTTACGGAACAAATAAATAACTTCATCATAAATTTTTCTTTGTGGGATAAAAAATACGAAACAACCTATTTTTATCAAAGGTTTCATAAAAATGTTCATCATAAAAGTATTGAATATACAGGTACTGTCCAGTTTCATTTAGTTTTGCAGTGTACAAAATAACATTTCACATCAAAATAAGAAACATATTATAAAATGATAGTAAAAATGTACCTTGACCTATAATGGTTTACTTTTATAAATTGTAACTTGGATTGAGAGTTGTCTCATTGGCACTCATACCACATCTTCCTATATCTATTCTTAAAGTTTCTAATAATTTACAAAATCAAAATACGTTAAAAAATAACAAGCTTACTTACCACAATAGGAACGACATAGAAATTAAGAGTTGGTGTGTACGTCTTTAGAAAATCTATTCTTCCATCAAAGAAGAAAAATGACAAGGCAGCTAAAAAGATAACTATGATTAATATAATAAGCACAGCTTCAAGGTCAATTATAAACTCATATGACAGGACAAATTATCCAAAGAAAATTTAATCACTTATAATGAGGGAGAGAGAGAGAGAAAATATTGTGCTATTCCATGGCGGTCAGTTTTCATTGGCGGAGGAAGCTGGAGTGCCCGTAGGAATACATGACCTTCGGTAGGAAAACTGACAATCCTAGTCAATTAAGATTGGAGCTGAGCACAACGGCCACATGCGAGATACAAATTCACATTCCCAGTGATGACAGGCTAGTGATACAGTAGTCTCACTAAGGGAGCTGCCATTTGATTTTTATAGGGGGGCTAGGATGAAAAATTTTGTCCTGCCTTTTTATTTTTCACTCTATTCGGTCCTGCCTTTTTTTTTTTTTTTTAGTTTACCCTGACTTTTTTTTACATAAATTGTCATCCTGCCTTTTTTTTTTACAAAGTGTCTCATCCTGCCTTTTTTTTTACTCAAAACTCCTGTCCTTCCTTTTCAAATTTCATCCTAGCCCCCCACCCCCCCCCCCGCCCCCCCCCCCCCCCCCCCCCCCCCCCCCCCCCCCCCCCCCCCCCCCCATAAAAATCAATTGGTAGCTCCCTAATTAGACCACTCTGCCACCTAGGCCCCAAATTCTACAAAATAGTTATCTTGAAGCAAGGAATTATTTGAATATGGAATAATTTTGAATTCTGGAAAATTGACAACAAATGTATGATGAAAACTAACCCAACTAAATAGGGTTAGCCATACACGCATGCCTAAGATTAATCTTTCTTTCACTGATATTTCAGTATGAACTAACTAACCCTCCTTAGCCATGCTAACACTCTTAAATTGGGTTAGTTTTCTTCATTAAGTTCTTATCAATTTTCCAGAATTCAAAATTATTCCAGATTCAAATAATTCCTTCTTTTGAGGTTTTAAGAAATAAAATATGACATATGACATAGAACCAGTTCAACATCAAGTGGATCATACCTGGTAAGTTTTGTAGGTGTATTTGTTTGAACATTTTGATTCATTTCGTCTTTTTGAGGTGACTGACATACACATCACCTGAACCTTTATTCAACTTCAAACATCACTAACTTACCAGAGCCAGCAACTATTACAAGCTTGCCTATAAACAGTAGAAAATCTGTTACTTTGTCTATGACAACTACTCTGAAAAAATAAAAATAAAATGCTGTTTATATAACATAGATGTTTTTCACTAAGATAAATAATGCCCATGAAATTTCAAAATAAGTCCAAGTTAATAACAACATCTTTTTGCAACCATGCAAGTCCATTCAAAGAATTTTCACCAAATTTATGGCCTGATGGGTTTTTGTTTTTTTTGCACAACTACTTTTTTTTTCTCTTTTGAGTTGTTTAACATTTTGTCATACTGGGACTATGTATAGCTTACTATATGGTATGTGTTTTGCTAATTGTTGAATACAAAAAAAATAATGCTATCAAAATTTTTAAAAATGTTAGTTTTTATTTTTGGGAAACCTATCCTGTCATAATTTTTGGAATAATATAAACATTGCAAAAATTACAGCATTGTTACTATATATATCAATCATATGGTCTGTGGTATTGATGACTTAAGGTGCCTTTACACTGTACCATTCTCCATCCGATTTGATACTGTAGCCAAGGTAAATGGTACAGCCCTCTGTTCACATGATACGATTTTCCATTTCAATAACCAAACAACATCCAATTTCAGTGTTTACACGGTGCAATTTTTGTCGATGCAACATTATAGGTTAAAAATAGAATGGAAATCGGATGGAAAATCCTACCCTGTAAACCAACCTTTAAATTTGTAAAAAAAAGTTTTCATTGCCCTAAAACACGAACTCTTTAGGCCTAAAAATGCAATTGTATGATGTTGCCTATCCACCCACCTAAAAAGCAGCCTACCCGAAAAATTTTGACAAAATTCATTTCAAATTTTTTTATTTGAAGTTTTTTCGTGCTCTAACGTCATTTTCTTGTCTAAAACATGTAACTTATGTTGTTGCCCCCACAAAAAAAATAAATCCTTACCTACCTACACATCCCTACAAGGCATGGGTAGGCAACATAAAACAAAGAATTTGTTATGGGTGGCCTTACCTAACACAATTCCTCATGATCAACATAAAGGCATTTTTAGCTGATGTACAAAAGTTCTTCCCATGAGCTGCTATCTGCAAATAGTGTGTATTCATATAGTTAGCATATACAATAACTGATGTTCATTATATTTTCTCTTAATTATAACAGTGGTCACAACAAGACAAATTAAAGAACCTTAGTGAGCGCGCTCACATACCCCACGTCCCCACATTGTCATTGGAGAAATAAAATAAGTGTAAGAAAAAAAAAAATTGTATCAGAAAAAAAAATTGAATCATAATTTCCTGTCGATATGCACATCTACGTAGTATGTCCTTATTATCTGAAATTCTGTTGTGTGGTTTGAGAGGAGTTGCGATGACAAAAGGTTGCCGTAGTATATTGGGCAAATAAATTCAAAGGGGCGTAACTCCTAGAAAAAGAATTGAATCGTAATTTCCTGTCGATATGCACAACTACATAGTATGTCCTTATTATCTAAAAAGGTTTCGTGAAATTCTGTTGTGTGGTTTGAGAGGAGTTGCGATGACAAGAAACAGGACTGACAGACTGACGAACTGAGGGACTGACAGACTGACGGACGGACGGACGGGTCAAAAACATTATACTCTCCGCAACTCGTTGCGTGGGGTATAATAAAGAGCTGCGCCATAAGCACATGATATGCCCGTCACCTTTTTAAAGAATAAAGTTCCATAACTCCTCAATGTCATATCAGAAATTTATAAAAAACTAAAGGGAGATTAATTTAATAGATATAAAGCAGTCACCAAAGTTTCATGAAAACTGCTCAAAGCAATTTTGAATTATTGTCCGAAAACTGGAAAATCCCCCTTTTTTAATGAATAAAAGCGCATAACTCGGAAACGTAAGATCTAAAATTTATAAAAATTGAAAGGGAGCTCAAATCAATAGATATAAACAATTCAACAAAGTTTCATGCAAATTGGTTTAAGTGTTTTTGAGTTATTGTCCGACATGTTGATAAAGGACAACGGTATACCATAATACGTCCCGTAAACGGGCTTATAAAAATTACCAAGATTACCAAAAGGGTCCCAATAAACACATCAGAGGTTGTCAAAACCACCTGAATGAAATACAGATCCTATCTTCATGCTTTGCTTACACTGCTCTAACAACAATTCGTTTTACTTTCTGTTCTGGTAACTATCACTTTAGCCAATGAAATTGCACACTCTGAAGTGTCTCGCCTGCTTTACTATTCATGATTTTTCTTATTTTGAAAGTCCTAAAGATATAATTTTACTACAAATATAGCATACATAAAAGAACAGAGTTCCAATGTCCCCTGCGTTGCGCATATTTGATCTGTTCTTTCCAAGGACAATAATTAAAAAAAAAATGTAGTTCCCTGAGAAAGATGCTACGAAAAATATTCATGGGATGGAAGGAAGGACTGACGGATGGACACAGAGGTAAAACAGTATACCCCCACTTTTTTAAAGCGGGGTATAAAAAGGAAAGGCTTAATTTCCTGGTTGAAGGAAAAAAATATAAGTAAAAGATTTCAATGCCTCTTTTTGTAATTTTATCAGGTTGTAAAAGCCTAGAATGTGAACACATTTTAAGTTCCACGTTTCATACAAAATTACCGGTAATCACAAAAACAAATAAATATGATAAATACAACCTAAAACAGAAAATCTATACAAAACTATTTTGTTTTATCTTCGATGGTAAAATATAATATTTTAAAACTAGAGGCTCTCAAGAGCCTGTGTCGCTCACCTGTATTTACTGATGCTTTGGAAATCATGTAAAATAAGGTTAAAATCATAATTAATAGTATTAGATATTAAATATTATAATGATATTTAAGATAATAACAAAAAACTGCAAAATTTTTGTAAAATTACTAACTCAGGGGCAGCAACCCAACAACGGGTAGTGGGATTTGTCTGAAAATTTCAGGGCAGATAAATCTAAATCTAATGAACATTTTTGCCACCTGTCAGATTTGCTCTAAATGCTTTAGTTTCAGAGATATAAACCAAAAACTGCATTTTACCCCTATGTTCTATTTTTAACTAAGTTGGCCATGATGGTTGGAAGGCGGGGTCATCGGACAAATTTTTTAAACTAGATACCCTAATAATGATTATGGCCAAGTATGGTTAAATTTGTATCAGTAGTTTCAGAGAAGAAGATTTTTGTAAAAGATTACAAAAATTTACGAAAAATTGACTATTAAGGGCAATAACTCCTTAAGGGTTCGACTGACAATTTTGGTCATGTCAACTTATTTGTAGATCTTACTTTGCTGAACATTATTGCTGTTTACAGTTTATCTCTATCTATAATAATATTCAAGATAATAACCAAAAACTGCAAAATTTCCTTAAAATTACCAATTCAGGGGCAGCAACCCAACAACAGGTTGTCAGATTTGTCTGAAAATTTCAGGGCAGATAGATCTTGACCTGATAATCAGTTTTACCCTATGTCAGATTTACTCTAAATGCTTTGGTTTCAGAGATATAAGCCAAAATCTACATTTTACCCCTATGTTCTATTTTTAGCCATGGCGGCCATCTTGGTTGGTTGGCGGGGTCATCGTACACATTTTTTAAACTAGATACCCTAATGATGATTGTGGCCAAGTTTGGTTAAATTTGGCCCTGTGGTTTCAGAGGAGAAGATTTTTGTAAAAAGCTAATGACGACGGACGCCAAGTGATGAGAAAAGCTCACTTGACCCTTCAGGTCAGGTGAGCTAATAAGAAATATACTACCATCCTAAAAATTTAATTAAAAGAAATAAGATACCTCATAAAAATCTTGACTGAATATAGCTTTTAACTATTACAGAAATGAATATTGACAGAATTTAATGAATAGTTAAAAGCTATATAGCTAGCATGAAGTATGATTTGAGAAGTTTAATAGGGGAGTTTCTTCAAAACAATTTTGAAGCGAGTCAAAACAGGAGTATAATATTCAACAACAGTTCTTTTTGAATTGTTTTACACTTGTCATTTTGGTGTCCTTTATAGCTTGCTGTTCGGTGTGAGCCAAGGCTCTGTGTTGAAGGCTGTACTTTGACCTAACATTGTTTACTTTTTATACATTGTGACTTGGATGGAGAGTTGTCTAATTGGCACTTCTTATTTCTACTTAATAGATAAATCACTACTTTCTTTAGTTCAAACACACGACATGACAAAGATAACAGACATACTGATGACCCCTTATTTAGTATTGATCTGAAAGATGCATATTTAAGAGATATTAATTCCTACCAAAAAGCTACTCACAAACAAATCATGCATATATCCCTAATCTCTTTCACAAGTAAATAAAACCTTGATCTTAAAGCAGTAATTGTGAAGTCATGTTCAGACTTTCAGTCAATATTCAGACATTTTATACTACAAACTCAATAATACTATAGGTTTTACTATGATATCCAATGACTGGGTCATAACGACTGCTGGTTGTCTGTTCCTTTCCCCATACATGAGGGGCCTGATGGGTTATTTTCGTTCTTCGTGATCTTCGCATTTTCGCTATCGTGATTCGTTTTTCTACCGATTTTTTAATTTTTTTATATTTTCGTGATCCGTGATCATGGAAATTTATTTTCTGTGAATCGTGATTGACAAAAAAATCGTGATGAGACCCCCCTCCCCCCCATTATCAGGCCCCTCATACATGCATTTAAGCTGCTGCTGTGAAATTCAGTATTGAGACAATGACATTTTGATTTATTTTTAAGAGACTTATTTGTTCACTACATATTTATTTTCCTGTTCAAACCCTTACCATGGAAAATAAAACTCCCCTTGAAATTTCTTGAGTTTATAGTATGATTTTCTTTTCAACTTTCATGGTGGCCACACTAATGAACAATTGGGAAAGTTATATAATATACAAACTTATATACCATTATGTAGGCATTCTTGTTCAGGAAACGTAAAAACTTCTCCAAACACCAGAAGCAACACTTCAGACATCTGCAATAAAAAAATGTCACTTAAAACTTGATGCTTAACTTTTTCGTAGATAAAGCATTATAAACTTTTGCTTGGTAAAAACCTACAACAGTCATTTTCGAGTTCAGTATCTATAAATGTTGACATTTTTGCTGCTCGCAATTTACCATAGCTTTCATCAGTACGCAAAAATGGGTAAAACTCGTCTCGAGTCAGACATAACAACACATGTGTTAAACTCATCAGGATTGCCCATGTGGTTTCAGAGAAAATTTTAATGAACGATGACAACCCAAAGTGATGGCAATAGCTCACATGACCTTTTGTCCAGGTGAGCTAAAAGACAAAAATCCTATAAAAATACTCCCATGTTATCTCTCAAATTACTTTAATAAACTGTTAACACAGAGATATGTCTCGCCTATTTGTTATTTTGATAATGCAAATGTTGAAATTAAAATAGCAAAACTTTAACATGTAAGTTATGCAAATATTAAAAGTCAATGAACCATGACTAAAGGTACATGGCTAAACAGTCTTCATGGAAATGAGATGTGCCAATGCTAATACAAATGCAAACCAAATACCATTGTCTTTTCGTAAGTCGTTCCCTTTAAACAAACCTAAACACAAACATTTACTTGTAAACTATGTAAAAGTTTCAAAGTCAATGAACCATAATTAGGGGACGGGGTTAATCTCCATGGAAATAAAACATGCAAATGTCTATACATTTGCATACCGAATATCATTGACTTAACATTAGTGGTTCATCTTAAACTGACCTAATCACAAACTTATACATGTAAACTAAGCAAAAGTTTCAAAGTCAATAGACTATGACTGACTGGTAAGGACCAAATATTCTCCATGGAAATGAGATGTGCTAATGCTCATACAACTGCATACCAATCATCATTGACCTACCACTAACGGTTCCCCTTAAACTGACCTAATCACAAACTAATACATGAAAACTAAGCAAAAGTTTCAAAGTCAATAGACCATGACTAAGGGGGCTGAGCCAAATAATTTCCATGGAAATAAGATATGCTAATGCTTATACAACTGTATACCAAATATCATTGACCTAACACTAGTGGTTCCCCATAAACTCACCTAATCACAAACTAATACATGTAAACTAAGCCAAGTTTCAAAGTCAATAGACCTTGACTGATGGGGCGGGGCCAAATAATCTCCATGGTAATGAGATGTGCCAATGCTAATACAACTGCATACCAAATATCATTGACCTACCACTAGTGGTTCACCATGAACTAGACCTAATCACAAACTAATAAGTTGTTGACGCCGCCGCCAAAGCCGGAAACAGCATACCTTTGTCTCACTTTTTGACTCCGTCAAGGCGAGACAAAAACTGACTAAACCCTAATACTTAATGGAAACAGCATCTCATATACAAAATACACCAGTATAATGCCTCTGAGTAACAACATTGCCAGTAAAATTAATCAAACTATAGGGAATTCTGTTAGATCTAATAAATTACCAAGATTCATACAGAGATAAAAAAAAAAAAAAAAAAAAAAAAAAACATAGTAAACAGGAAGTGAGTACCATCCCTAATATCTATTTTGAAGTCTAATATCTTTTGATGAGGTAAATGTGAAGTCTATCTCAAAAAAACCTTACTAAAAACCTAGATAAATTAAAAAAAGTGTGTTAATGTACCTTAGGATGTGGCATAGTTATTGGACACATAAACGGAAAATAAAAATGATTCATGCGTAAAACGTTATAAGTGTGTGTAATTATTCAAGCTGAAAAACTCAAACATTGGGCAGAACTCCAGAAAATATGATAAAAATGTTTTTCTTAATGACCATCTTGATATTGTAAGCACGAGAACACATTCCAGGCAATTCTTGACAAAAAAGATAAGGATATTGTATCACACTGCACCTACTTTGTACGAACAACTTTTTTGTAGCTAGGGGCTGAAAATTACCCCAGTTGAAAAATTGAAAATTTGATGGAGTTGGTACCAATGTAATGTGAAAATGAGGTCAAGGTCAGATGAACCCTGCCAGAAAGACTTGCATATCCCTGACAATCTTCCCATTATGACACCAGAAATATTCGACTAACTCAGCTTATAGTATCTGAGAAAAGGACCTAATCAAGAAAACTTAACATTGGCCAATAATTACAGTACATGTATGTTTCAAAAGAATTTGTAATTTTGATTGGATGACAACAATCGCAAGGCATTTCAAATTAGATTTTATTGCTCAATAAAATACAACATCAATGACAGCACATGCTTCTCATGAAAACATCACAACAATACATAGGAAAAGAAACTCATAATTTCATGGTTGATGCAGAAAAATGTAATTATAAGAATTGAATGATTCTTTTGTAAATTCATAGTGTTGTAAAAGAGTTGATACTGTGCACATTTTTAGTATGAAATGCTTTCTAAACATGACAACAAAAAGGATTTTTCACCAGAATAACAAAATTGTTTTAGAAACACCAAACTGTTGTTAGTAGGTTATTATGATTTTGAAACACGAAACTTTTTTAATTGTAAGTTAAAACTAGCAATCAGCTGGGCAACAAATGTTTTTCCTAAAAAGTTTCTTACAAAACAAAAAACTTACTTCACAAAAAATTTAGCAACAGGGTTCTCAGATCCTTTTAATTTACCATCTACATATTCCAGTAAAACTCGAATGATCTGTACAATGGCTATTATCAGAGATCCAAATGCTAAAGATCCTAGATGATATCTGAAATAAAAGTAAAACTCTAATATATAAAATCTAAACAAAAGTACAAAAGTCAATTCTAAATTGGGAGAATGTATGATTTCTACATCAACAAGCAAATTACTTTAACAAATTACTTTCAATTACTCCAGGCAATCTGTAATTACTGTAGAGTAATTTACAGTGGACAATTGAGGAAAAACTGTATTTTCGTAGTATCAAATAATAACAAACACTACATACAAACCTATATGAAAGCATATTTTGTTAAATATCTTAAAAATTCTTGATTCATATACCCACATAAATAAGTATTTCACAAGTAATAAGAAGTTTACAGAGTATCTCGTTTCTAGTTGGTGTATTTTGTAGTCTGTAATACCGATATAATTAAGGGGGACTTTGGCTATGGGAGATAACTTTTTACATAAAAAAATGTTTTCACAATCGCCAGTTTCATCAATGATTCTGAAGCATTTATGTGAAAACAAGAGTGCACACACTGAAATGTCTCGCCTGTTTTACTTATCATTGGATTTATGATGAAAGTCTGTAATATGAAGGTTTTACTACAAGTATCACATTAACTTCACATTGACCAATGAACCATGAAAAGAGGTCAAAGTCATATGAACCCTGCCAGACAGACATGTATACCTTACAATTATTCCATACACTAAATATAGTTGACCTATTGCTTATAGTATCTGAGAAATAGACCAAACCACAAAAACTAAACATTGTTCAATGAACCATGAAATTGAGGTCAAGGTCAGATGAAACCTGTCAGTTAGACATGTACCCCTTACAATCATTCCATACACTAAATATAGTTGACTGATTGCTTACAGTATCTGAGATACGGACTTGACCACGTAACTTTAACCTTAGTCACTGATTCATGGAATATGGTTGAGGTCAGGTGAACCCTACCTGATGGACATGTAGAAGTTGCAAGGAACCCATATACCAAATATAGTTATCATATTACTCATAATAAGTCAGTATTACACTTAACAAAAAAACTTTAATTTTTTTTCAAGCAGTCACTGAACCATGAAAATGAGGTCAAGGACAATGGACATATGACAGACGGAAACTTCGTAACATAAGGTATCTGCATACAAGGTATGAAGCATCCAGGTCTTCAACCTTCTGAAATATAAAGCTTTAAACAAATAGTTTACGCTGTCACCGCCGGATTGAAATACCTATGTCTTGCATTAAAAAGTTGCAGGCGAGACAAAAATTAAAATAATCTGTGTATCTAAAAAGCAAAAAATATATATTTGCAAAGACTGACATAAACGAACAAGTGATTTTTAAGATTTATGTCCCTTCAAAGGCTGGATGATTCCTATGGATCTTTATTCAGGCTGATATCCAGTTGAAATTAAACAAGAGGCTGTCAGATTGACAGCAAACCGGATTTTCCTGCATGAAAATGATATTTGCAAATCTGGACCCCCAAACAGGATAAAAAAAAAAAAATGAATTTTTGTAGGGTTCAGAAATGGAAAAGCCAAAATCAATCTATGTATCACTTTTACTACCTAAAGGTCTATAAATCAACAACCATAAAAGTTAAAATTGTGAAAATAGAACTTGACCTTCATTTAGTCACAGGAAACAATATGTCTAAATTTGAAAAGATTTCGTTAAAGCTTTTTCAAGTTATTGCACAGACAACACTCTAAGTATCACTTTTCGTTACTTAAAGGCCTACAGCTCAACATTGATAAAAGCTAAAATGGTGAAAATCGAACTTGACATTTATTTAGTCACAGAAAACAATATATATTTTATTTGTTCTGTTAACTGGATTTTCGAAGGAAAATATCTGTTATTAGTTTGGTGATGTATACGGCGGTTGGGCGGGCAGCTGCCAAACAGTGTGTGTTCAATAACTTGAAAACGCTTTGAGGAAATCTTTTCAAATTTATATATGCAACTTTTACTTCACTTGTTTTCGTGCTTGAAGCTAATTATTCTTCCTGTTTTGTACAAATTGTCCAAAAGCAAGGTATAAACCATTTAAAAAAAATTTCAGCTATTTTACTTCCTGTTTGTCAGTACACAAGACCCACTCTCCCCAATTATGAGTATCATTTAAGTTTCTTTCCTTCCTCCCTTGCTTCCTCTAATCCAGTAATTTCTGACATTATATTGACAAAATTCAGGTCACACCCCCAAAAGAAATTTCAATACTATTTGTTTCAATATTTGCAATATAAATTACAATGAGGGGCCTGATGGGTTATTTTCGTTCTTCGTGATCAGCCAATTTTCGCTATCGTGATCCGTTTTTCTACAGATTTTTTTTTTTTTATATTTTCATTCCGTGATCATGGAAATTTATTTTCTGGGAATCGTGGTTGACAAAAAAATCAACTTGTGAATCGTGATGAGACCCCCCCCCCCCCCCCCCCCATCAGGCCCCTCTACAATTTGTAATCCTATATCTTTTACACTTTGATACTTTCCACTCTTTTTTATAGACTGCATTGTGGGATGTGAAAGATAGCACTGTAATCAAAATCTTTTTGTAATTATGAACTTCCAAATTCAACATTCATATTTTTAATTTATTTCTTTTCATGCAATTGTAAATACTTACTATGGAATTTTAAAATATGAAATGCAATTAAAATATAAACATTATAGTGTATTCTTTTATTTGTTAAAGTGAGTGTGTATTAGTGCGTATATTCATGTGTTTATAATATGACTGCATTTTGTGTACACCTCCTACATCAACATCAACATATGATTGCCAATGAAACAACTCTCCACTAGAGACCAAATGACATAGAAGTTACCAACTATAGGTCACTGTACAGCCTTCAACAATGAGCAAAATCCTAACCACATCGCAAGCAATTAAAGGCCTCAAAATGACAAATGTAAAACTAACGGCCTGATTTATGTACAAACAATAAACAACTAGAGGCTCTCAAGAGCCTGTGTCGCTCACCTGTATTTACTGATGCTTTGGAAATCATGTAAAATAAGGTTAAAATCATAATTAATAGTATTAGATATTAGATATTATAATGATATCTAAGATAATAACAAAAAACTGCAAAATTTTTGTAAAATTAATAACTAAGGGGCAGCAACCCAACAACGGGTTGTCAGATTCGTCTGAAAATTTCAAGACAGATAAATCTAAATCTGATGAACATTTTTGCCACCTGTCAGATTTGCTCTAAATGCTTTAGTTTCAGAGATATAAACCAAAAACTGCATTTTACCCCTATGTTCTATTTTTAACCAAGTCGGCCATGATGGTTGAAAGGCGGGGTCATCGGACAAATTTTTTAAACTAGATACCCTAATAATGATTATGGCCAAGTATGGTTAAATTTGTCTGCGTAGTTTCAGAGAAGAAGATTTTTGTAAAAGATTACAAAAATTTACGAAAAATTGTTAAAAATTGACTATTAAGGGCAATAACTCCTAAAGGGGTCGACTGAAAATTTTGGTCATGACAACTTATTTGTAGATCTTACTTTGCTGAACATTATTGTGGTTTACAGTTTATCTCTATCTATAATAATATTCAAGATACTTACCAAAAACTGCAAAATTTCCTTAAAATTACCAATTCAGGGGCAGCAACCTAACAACGGGTTATCCGATTCGTCTGAAAATTTCAAGGCAGATAGATCTTGACCTGATAATCAGTTTTACCCTATGTCAGATTTACTCTAAATGCTTTGGTTTCAGAGATATACCAAAATCTACATTTTACCCCTATGTTCTATTTTTAGCCATGGTGGCCATCTTGGTTGGTTGGCAGGGTCATCGGACACATTTTTTAAACTAGATACCCTAATGATGATTGTGGCCAAGTTTGATTAATTTGGCCCAGTGGTTTCAGAGGAGAAGATTTTTGTAAAAAGCTAACGATGACGGACGACGACGACGGACGACGGACGCCAAGTGATGAGAAAAGCTCACTTGGCCCTTTGGGCCAGGTGAGCTAAAAATGATATACAGCAACAAACAACAACCACTGAATTACAAGCTCCTGACTTGAGACAGGCACATACCAAATGTATAAAGACTTTGACAAAACCAAGAAATCAAATATACATGAAAATGCAAGTTTCCCTCAATTACTGAAAATTGGTACCCACAAAAATAAATGAATCCAAATAAATTACATAACAAACTGTTGACACATAGATATGTCTCGCCTGTCCGCATAAAATTCACAAAAAAACAATCTGATGGACAGCAACATGGTTTATAAGACCATTTTTTAGAGGCCAGGCCTGAAAATAATCGTCAAAACTGACAGTAATGCAACTTCATACAAAATAGCATTGATCTATCACAAGTAGATCCTATCAAACTAACTTAAGCAGAAAACTTAACATTGAAAATTGCTAATCAATTCAAAGTCACTGGACCATGTCCTACGGGGCAGGGCCTAAAAATAGTCGTCAAACTGATATGTACAGATAGTAATGCAACTTTTTATTTAATATCAATAATTTATCACAAAGAGTTCTTATCAAACTAACTAAGGCAGAAAACTTCACATTGAAAATTGCTAATTAATTCAAAGTCGCTGGACCATGACCTAGGGGGCAGGGCCATGAAATAGTCGTCAAACTGATATGTACTGTTAGTAATGCAACTTTACATTGAATATCAATGATCTATCACAAGTAGTTCCTATCAAACTTTAACTTAAGCAGAAAACTTAACAATTGTTGACGTCGTTGTTGCCGAAGCCATCAATGTCGCCAGAAAGCAATCCCTATGTCTCGCTTTCCACAACTTTTGTCCCACGTGAGACAATAAAACCTCAATTCATAAAACGTTCCTCCAATCGGAATATACCAAAATTATATGAAATTAACATCTAATGCAATTATAACAAGAAGCTCTCAAGAGTCTGAATCGCTCACCTGTAATTTTTTGCTTAAATGTTTCATCAATGATTCTTTTTAGTTTTCAATATATATTAATGAGTGGCTTAAAAATGCCATTTAAATGTTCTCTGTATC